TGGATTCTTCTTCTTCTCCTTCTCCTTGTCCTTCTCCTTCTTCTTCTCCTTCTTCTTCTTCTTCCTACTATTCTTCTTAATCTTCGTCTCCTTCTCCTTCTTCTTCTTCTTCGTCGTTTGGCAGGTTCAAGTCTCAAGCACAAGTGGGATTCAAGATTGCACATCTTGAGCCTCTCCGATTGAATAGGGCTTCCCACATCCAGTTGCCTCATCAGTGTGGGAGGTCTCTTTCCAAGCATCATCCGGCTTGATGAACTGGGGCCAAGTAAGCCTCAACAGTCAGTCAGCAAACGTTTATCCTTCCATGGGGTCCCTATTCGACGTGCTTCAAGACCAGGCTTCACCTTTTCTCCGGCAATCATGAAGGTTGAACACAAATGCCCAACACATCTCAGCAACCCCTGCACATCCCAGTACTGCTTTTCCTCTACCAAGCATGCGGCCCCTTTCCAGGAGTTTCAGCACATTTCTGCGCTGGTTGCTTCACCATTGACGACCGAGTGGCAGCAAGGTGTGGACTCCATTGGCTCTAGCAGTGACCATCTCGCCCACGCACCACTTCCGTGTGAGAATCGCTGGGCTACACAGCACCAGGAACGTCTCCGTATCCTGGCGCGAGTTGAACGAATCGACTCCGTTCACGGCCGGAATTCCAAAGAGAGTGAGTGCCGGCAGACGGCCCGTCGACTGAAGGACCGCCACAAAAGGGAGCGATCGCTGTGTTCACGAAGGACCACCACGGTGCGAATTGAACACCGAAACAACCTGCAGCAGGGGTTGTTTGTAGACCGATACCCACGATGTGTTTCCATTTGTCCATCGTTGGTCGGCGGTGCTGGCGTCACAAACGGGTCGTCATGGACCAATGGAGTCATCGGTGAAGTCGAAAAGGCCAGACCATCCAGACTGGACTGGAAGACAGTCTAATACCTACCATACCTACCATACCATACCATACCTACCTACCATACCTTAGTCCAATACCTATACCTACCATACCATACCTTCAAAACAGTCCAGACTGGAAGATTGGCCTACCGGGCACACACACACACATACACATCTTGTATCGCAGACGAATCGGAGTGTCTCCGCTGCCCGGCAACCCTCACACGGCTGAGCAGTGTGGAGCGGTCACCACCTTCAAGCATCTTATAAATCATCATCTTGAGAAGCACATGTTCCATGGATTGGCAGGGAAAAAGACGATCGGAAGACCATTTTCGTCATGTCTCCAAAAGACCCAACTGTTGGTGAACTCCACTGCAATGTTCAGTTGTACCTTCTGAGCAGGTATGTGGATCCCTGGGAGGAGGCCACATACCAAGCTCCATGTATGTGGGTCACGGGGGGCACGCCACGGAGGCCTCACACAAAAGAAGAAACTGGTTAAGACCTTTTGGAACATCCGGGTGGGTCATGGTTACAATTATGTCCTACCTACCCTGCGGATCCACGTACCTTCTCAGTTGGACTCTCCAATCACCCTATCAAAGAGTGTGTGGACCCATAGGTCTATATATATATATACATATTCATATAATATATGTATATATATATATATTCGATTATATTCGGACATCCTCAAAAATCTACTGTAACATCCTCCCACCAAACAATCACACGTTTGGATTGCTCCATCTTCAGTCAGCTCACCCCACTCTTTCGCTTGTGACTTCCGCCCATCGGCAGCAGGCCGCGGAAGGCCCCGCGCCTGGCCCACATAGCTGAAGAGCCGAGTGAGGTCATTGAGGTCATCACAGTCGATGAAGGTCTTCGTCTTGGGCCTCGGCATTTACCAACGGCGAATCGGTGCCTTTCTCGTCGGAGGCACCGCGAGTTCTTTGGAGTCCGGTGTTGGTGGTTTTCATCCGTCCGCAGAGTCGGATGGACTGGATGATACCGGATGGTTTAGCTCTGAAGTCTTTCAAAAGCTTGGTGAATTTAGATGAGCTTATAAGTCTAATTGAGTTGAACTATCACAGGGGGCTCTGACGACATGGCGTGTAGACATGGCTCGCAAATGAACTCACGCATGGACCAGCAGCACTACCAATAGGCAAACTTCTTGAGGTAGATTCTTTTGTTCGAAGGATTGACCGCCACCTCCCATTCCACTTCTGGTCAACATACCTATCAAGTATTTGTCAAGTAGCAGCTGCGGAACCCCCAAAAAACAACATTTGGGATTTGAAGTAGTGTATGTTTGCTCACGCCCAGGTAGCGGGAATGGTAGCGGGCAGAATCTCAAAATGCTGACCAAAGGCAACCGTAGCTCGAGCTCCATCTTCAGAAGCCTCACGCGCGCACAAAACGAGCAACTGCAGAAATGGCAAAACATGTGAACATCCGTGAACAACTATATAAGCTGATATCTTACCAGAAATGGCTTACCAACGGTAAGGGGCGAGCTCATATGTTGGGATGCCCCTCTCATGATTCCACTTGATCACTCTGGGATACTCTTGCTCACGGTGGGAGAATGCCTAAGCTTTTCCCATACATATGGCCTATGGCTGATGCAAAAAATGCGCTGCCCCAAACATGACACCCACCCAGTAGATGACACATGTTGTTTGTTCTCATCCCTCTGCCTCACCAACTCCGCGTGCCCAAATTATGCCAATTGCAAACACTGGAAGACGTGTTTCGTCGTTCCGTCGTTCCAAGAAAACGGTTACACAAGTGTGACATAAAAAATAACATGGAGGAACATGAAGCTGGGCCAGGCGGGAACAAACTCTGCCCAACACTCCGTACAAACTGCTTGCAATCACCACCGCTATAGAAGAAACCAGCAACAAACAAACTTCCAAAATCCATAATGTTCCCTTTCAAGCACAAAAACAAACAGGGTGACTTGTTTGGAGGATGTCATAGGAACGCACAACTGCATGCCTCCAACAAGTGTTTATAGTCTACCATGTCTGCTAAGCGGCTAAAGCAATAATGCATTGAACAAATAGCATTGACCAAAATCTCAAGAAGTCAAACAAATCTCAAGACGTGTCACTTGCAGGTTGTGTTACTGTGTTCTTCCGAAAGTTGGCACCGGCTGCTTGTTAAAGCTGCAGCCCTCCCATGTTTCTCTGAATAAACTCATCTCATGAGAGGGATCCAAATCCAATCACCGTGGGTGTGATTGGTCCACGTGGGGATGTGACCCTGTTCTCAGACTGAACAAAAGTAGACCACATCCAAGTCCCTGCAAATCCAATGTTTTCAACCACTCCATATGGGACTGGCAATGACTCCAGGTCAGTGGGGGTGCCGAGTCCAGGTCGGCCCCGATCGGCATCTCTTCCAGTCCATCGGCAGGTAGAAATGGCCCAAAGCATCGGATGGAAGAGTTTTAGACCTACTTGCCTAGATCTTCCAACTGTGCCACATGTCTGCTTTTTCATGTAAAAAAGACACGCCCCAAGGCTTTTGATGTGGCATTTGTTCTGTTGGAAGATCCTGGTTTTGAGGTATGGATGCATTCCATCGGGTCGACACCGTTCCATTTCAAGTCCGTGGAGCCTGGCCATCGATCCTGTGGCATTCTTCTGATGGCACAAGAAGTAGCGGAACCTGCCCGACACGCTGCCCGAGCGCGGCGGAGGAACCGCGCGGGGGAGGAACCGGTGGGCGGAAGGACTCATGGGGACTGTGCTGGGTGCGACCTAGCAGCACCAGCGTTACGTAGTAGCGATGCCCCTTTGTTCCTAGTAGCGTCCGATCGCTGAGTTCGTAGCGATGCCAGGAGCCCCTAGTGCTGGGTGCGACCCTTCGCAGCACCCTTCGCACTACCAGGCTGTGCTTCTCCGAGGTTTTGGAGGCCGAGTGCTGTGCTTTTTTTCGCGGTCGAGAGACGGCCCTGGCTTGAAAAGAACAAGGCTCTGCAGCTACTGCCTTGGTGTGTCCAATTTCCCACTCTTCCGCCCTCCAGAACACGAGCTCCATGTCCAGCCAAGCGACTGTTTCTGGTACTTCTGCTGGAAGTATCGGTACATCCCCAGGCCCATGGTCCCCAGAATGGATGCAATCATCATGGATAGAAAAAGCATCACCTGAACCGCAGAGCCGGTGGAACCTTGAGGGAATCTTTTAGAGAGATTGGGTCAATAAGGTTACATGCGGAGCTCTGCTTGCTATACTGGGTACAGTAGGAGCCTCTTCAGGACACGCGACCTTTCCATCGATTCTACTACCAACCTGTCAGCCTGTACAGGCCTTTTAAGTCCAGTGACCACCTGGTTGGTCTTATTACGTTGGTTTCAGAGGTTCGATGGCACTGGCACCAAGATGCCTTAGACAGCTGGGGGCTGGGGGTTCATATCAACAACCCAACTGGGAGGATTGTGCTAATCTCAACCCAGTACAGATGAGTTGTTTTTTTTGTGGTGTGGGGCTTATACACTGGGTCTGTACCTACGCGGGTGCCTACGCCTGGGCTCCCCTCCCAAGCAAATGCCTACGCGAGAGGTTCTCTTTGTTAGGTGCCTACGCGGGATGCCTACGCAGGGTACTGTCACCAACTTTAGTCACATCAGGTGACTCGAAAATAGAAGAGCTATATAATCCGCAAGTAGTGGCCCGATGCGACCGGGTCACATCAGGTTCCTGTTTACAAGGCGTTTACAGCTTTGCTACCGATGGCCAGATAGATTTTGTATCAAGCCGATCCAATTACAGTGTGGAAGCAGCAGCACATAAGCAGCGCACAACAAGCAGAAAACAAGAGGCAGCAGCAGCAGCAGCAGCAGCCAAGCAGCAGCAAAAGCAGCAGCCAAGCAGTAGCAGCAGCCAATAGCTTCTTGCCTACGCGCTGCTTCCGCGAGCGCCTACGCGGCGCCTACGCGAAAATAGGTCCATTGATTATGGTACCAACAGGGTGCGCACAGTTGTAGCTCAAGAGCCGGTGTGCCAGACCAAGCACGATCAAGCTTTTGACCTCAAAAACCAATGTGCCCCCATAGCTTCGACAAACAAACTTCAAACATCCACTGTAGCCATGTCGTTACAATTCATTTTCATTTTCCTTCCCCACTGGAATTTGCAAGCAAGTGCCAAGTTAAACAACTACAAGCCAACATTATCTTTCCCCAAGACCCTTGAACAACTTTTAAAGAAGTCTGAATAAGAAAATTCAGGCTTTCATGAAAAGGGTGCCTACGCAAGACTGCCTACGCAAATCTTTCAACACCCACCTACGCAAAATGCTTACACGACGCCTACGCCCCAAGCAGAACAGCCTCCGCGACTTCTCAACAGTTCCCTTTTTGTATAAACCTAATCATTTGCAAAAAAAACGTGGCTCAGATCAAATCTTGTTGGCTGCTAACAGATTTCCATGCTCCATGGACCATCGCTGGATTCACAGCAACCTCTGGGAGGTGGAGGCATTTTTTGTCGGCGAAGAGCTGAGCTACAGGAGTGACTCTCAAACCCCGCCGTGAACAAAGTCAACACTGAATCTCACTGATGGATGAAGTGTTGAGCTTAAGGCTTTAAAAAAGTTGTCGTATAAAAAAATTGGTGTCCTTCCGAAACTCTCCCCGCGGTCAAAGTCCAAGAAGAAATACATAAATGAAGACTCACCTCATTTTGGATCGCCACAGAAGACACCTCACCCAACGGACGCACCGTCCGCCAGACAGGTGCTGGACACCACGCATTGAGAAGCTACAGCATTACAAAACCCTCAACCGGTTCACGCAAGTTCCCTGTCCCGAAAAGAATTCTGCAAGTTGTGAGTTGAGTAGGGAGGAAAGGTTGGATTGGCAGAAGAAGTTCCGACTCATTCATGGAGCGGTCATGGAAGCGTCGTCCACTTCCCTTCGCTCCGAGAAGCCACCAGGATCGTCACTTGTGGATCCGAGTCCTTCACCGAAATGGAGCCTCTCAAGGTCAAAGGCGGAAGGCGCGCCCAGACAGCGCCGCACCCGGGTTGGTTGCATCGCTCGAACCATGGCCGAATCATTTGTTTGCTTTAACGTGTTTTGGAGTTGGGTCTGGTTGGATTTGCACGGCATGTTGGTGTTTGGGTCTGGTGGGGTTTTCGTCTGGTGGAGTCCACGCGTGACCAGTTTTTAGCGGATGGCAGGGAGATGGTCATGGCGGCCCTGAACATGACTTGCAGAAACGAAGTCGGAAGGGGACACGACACATCTACTACCTATGGAACCCCAAACCGACCAATTGGTCGTTCGCCTGATGGTTGGCTCAAGGATGATCACGAGTCGCCGACGGGAGGACGATAATGAGTCGCCGAGTCGCCCCTTTCCAGCAACCCGACGGGTGTGATCAATTGAGGGATCGGCACGGATGGGCAAGAGATCAGTCAAGAAGGAATATACCGGTGGCTGCCCAATTGGAATACAAACACTTATCACTGTTGTTACGGGGGTTGTGCCCAAATGCTCAAGCTGCTAGACAAATATAGTGTGAAGCTTCGAGTGTTCCAAATGTTCCACGTCTGTCTGCGTGGCTTGCTGGAGGTCATTTGATGTCCAAACACGTGTCTGGCATACCATCCTGACAGTCAGGAGCCGAACAATGTCATATACGTTAACTATACAATGTATATGCAAATGAATGCATACAGTCTGTATCTAGCAAATCACAAGAACTAGAAGCCTTATGAAGCCTTTTACCTTGCAAACCCATGATGCTCATCATGTCATCTTCAGCACCCGTCACCGACGTCCATGCACCGACGTCCAACGGACTCACGCCGAGGACGGGTTACGCCCAGGTGCCCATGTCGAGAATCACCAGCATGCCGCCCAGAAGGAAGTTGTCCAACCAGTTGCAGATCCTAAAAAACAACACCGATGGACCATGGACGGCGGTATGTTCCGCGGGTTCTCGAAGCCACACGGGTTACCCGAGCCCCAACAAGCCCGGGAGAGAGAGAGAGAGAGAGAAGAAACGTAGGGCTCGGGTGGATGCATGTCCAACATTAAGCTGCTGGATAACGACTGGTTGAGCAGCTTTTGAGCAGGTGGTGCAGGATTGTGCCCATCGATCTTGGGCTTCGGCCTCATAGTGGGGGAGGTGCCCTTGACCCCGCAGGTATGTCACCTCCCGATAAACGCACGGGGCTGTGGGGATGCAAAGTGGTTTGAGAAGCCCTACACTCTGGGGAGGACCAAAACAGAACCACCAAGTATATACATAGGCGCAGCATATCATGTGATGCGTCGTGTCACCCTACACGTACTCCTACACGTCTAATCAAACATTATATGAACCTTCATCTTTGCACAGAAATGCTTTCTGTAGTGATTCTCACTGATCTTCACCTGTGTCCATGTACCTCCAGCGTCTTTAAACAACCGGTGGTCCATTGCACCCTCTCCTCCTTTCCTCGCCTGCCAAGACACGTGAAGCGCCAGGGCTTGTAGTAGGCCACCAGGGTGAGATTGATGTATAAAATAATGCCTACAATACAAGAAGCTCGAGTATGCTCGAGTCCAATTCAGCACACTTCCCGAGCTCGTTTCACGGCGCCGTTTCAATGGAAACAGCCCGAAAGCGCAGTCAGGAAACGGCACTGGGGAGGGCGGTCGACGAACAGCATCTGGAAAGATCACTATGACGACTATGCCCTAGGGCTCCAACTACCTCCTGAGAAGATGGTTGGGGTGGATTTGGGGGGTCTAACCACCTTCTGAGGATATGGTTGGAGCCCTATGGGTGATCACTTCATGGAGGTCAAATTTGAAACAACCCTGAGCAAAAATACATAAAAATACCATAATGAGCAGCGGAATCGGGAAGGGTTCAGCAAAAAGCTCGCTCCGAAGAAAAACGCGTCCCAGGTCGAACATGAATGAAGTGGCAGCATCCCCCAGATTCGAAGTTGGACAAAGTTGGTACTTCTTGTAGATATCAACTGCCTTGGGCGCTTAGGGGCTTAGGACAATACCCACGAGGTGAAAACCACAAACGAATCCTCCTTGCAAGGACCTGGAAAAAAAGACATAGTTGCACACACTGAACCCGAAAAAGGACCCCGCATGGGGAGCAAGGTTTTGTGGGCTTGCTTCCCAAGCAAAAGGTGCATATGCTCAGCTGACAAGCCAACTCACACCACACGTGATCCACGTCTAGGCCGTAGATCTCACCAACGAAATCACTTCCAGGGCCCTCTTCCCCACCATCCAACATGAACAAGAAAGAAAAAACACGTGGGAGATCGTGGGAGGCTGGAAACTGACCAGAGCAGCACTCCAACCTGAATTGAATTTATAACAAAATCGCGCCACGGAACGGCCTTTTCTACACCCCTGGTCTACGCACTTGAGATGAATCAACACAATTCAGAACCAGCACCACCCAGGTCAGGTGGTTCAATAAGAACGCCCCGAATAATACCGTGTGTTTTCAGGTCAATCACCCTCAAAGCTGGGTGGTGCTGGTATACAGTAAGTATACAGTAAGTGTTTAAAACAATACGTAAGCCATTGACTGCCAGGAGCAAAAAAAACGATCAAAAACTGGAAGATTTGTCTTGTGCTTGGCCAGCCATTCTTTATAGGTGTGAGCCAGCCATTGGTGCCATGGAGCTCATCATCAGCAGCTGGCCAGGTGTGCTGGTGACCAGGGGACACATCACCACCAAAGCATTTCCTGCAGTGATGCGAGCAAAGATGTGACCGGTTCCTGTCGCCAAAGGCTTGAGTTCTTCAGAGTTCTTCATCCAAGTTCTTCCTGTCACTTAGCAAACCTTGAAGAACTCAAGTCAGGTCACCAATGACGCTTGACCGAACAAACAAATTAGTGACACACACACTGCATATATAAATCCAATATCATAAAATATACAGTACAGTAAAAGGATCTCAGTACAGGAAAAAAGATTGAAAAAGTCCTCCAGCGAGCCATTGCTGGGGTAACTAGTGTTTCCATCATGCGCTGGAAGCCCCAGCCCAAGTCAGCAGGAAGTCTCAGCTTGGTCGGAGCTTAGTGATTGGTTTGGGCCACAAGAAGTTAAGATCCTTCAAGAGGTGGCCAAGTGCAGGTTGCACCAGCCCCGGCAAGTCCCGCAGGTTCATTCGACCTTAAAACCAGTTGGCCTTGGTGCCCACATGGGTGATGAAAGCTTGACAACATGTCCTCTTCAATGAAGCGCCACGTCTTCCTGCTGTCCCTTGCACCCCCCAAAAACACACTTTGACTCACGAACATGGAAGTGGAAAACAAGCCGGTTTTTCTTTTAAGAAGACAGTAGTATTCCAGTGCAGTGAGTCACACTGAGTCACACTATATTTCTTGGGACCGCTGGCCACTCCACCTGCCGTCTTCGGCCATGTTCGTCTGAGGCTCGGATCAGAAAGAACACCGAGGCGATCTCCATGCCGGGACGAAAGCGCTTCGTGAGGAACGAGCATGAACCTGGGAATTGGCTTCGGAAGCCCAAGGTTCACCTGGAGAAATCAACCATCAACCATCTTCCCCCGAGAAAAAAAAAAGGGGGACGTGACCCAGGAAAAAAAACAAAAGAAGAAAACCTTACAAAGCCAAACGCAGGGAACTCAAGAACTGCGCATCCGACCTGCAGGACGACCGGAAGGGACGTGAACTCACTCACTCACGCGGTGTCCCCGTGGAGTGAAGTAAGGGACGTTTTGTTTCACTCCGCGCCACCTGCGGAGTGCAGAAATTGGAGTCAATATGACCTAGAAGGCTCCTGGCCCACATCCGAAGGTAGTTAGACCCCCAACACCTACCACCTGGCCACCTTGTGAGGTGTTTGGAGCCCTAGGGTGAGTCGACTTGTCCTAGGACTGTGCGGAAGAACGCGAGCCCGCCCTGTCCACGCGAAGCCGGTGCATCGCGCCTGGCCACTCTCCGTGGGAGTTCCACTGTGACGATCCAAGTGCAAACCGCCAAGAAGAAGATGGGCATGAGGCAAGAGAAGCCTGGAGAGCTTGCTCGGTGGGTGTTGAAACATCCCATAATCCCCATGTATAGACCACCAACAAAAATATCCAAATCCCCCCAGAATCCCAACAATTTAGGAGACAGAAAGGGCTGGTGTTTGGTCCCTAAGTGAGTGGAGTAGCTGGGCACTCCTAACCTCCATTAAGCATTCCTTTGTGAGTCATGGATAATGGTTTTTATTGGACAACGTTTCTATCTATTGGTGGACGACTAGAAGCTCCAAGAACCGGGTGCGTTAGCTCGTCCGGCGCTGGCCAGGTGGATTGCCGTTCTCTAATCTAGAAACCATACGCGACCGGTTCGTTGTTCCCTTTTTGAGACCGTGTTACATGGGATGTGGAATCCCTAGGAGTATGTACTTTCAATGTAGATCTGATTCGACCCTCAACTGTTTGAATAATATTGAAGATGGCTCCCTTGGATCATGAAACACACTTGGTGCTGCAGTTCCAAGTCAGAGCGGTTCTTGGAAGTTGTGCCCCCTTCTTCACTCGGGTTCAACCTCTTCCAGCTGCGGCTGGCTCTCGCTGATGTGCTGAGACACCGCCGATGACAAACATGGTCACGTGCTCGCTTTCGCCATCACCTGGACGCATTCCAAAGGCAGCCACAAGGAGTCACAAAGGGGCGCCTGTTGGAGGATAGGGTGCCCAGCTACTCCACTCACTGGATGGGACTAAAAACCACCCAACTCCATGTGACTCCTGGGCGATGGCCACTGCTTTTCATCTCCCAGGTGCGAACACTTGCAGGTCACCCTCACATCTCGGAATCAATTGCGATAAAGGGCGCGTGCATGAGCCACCGTGACGGTTTCAAAACTGAGGAGGACTTGCTCTCTCTCTCTCTCTCTCTATAAGCTTCTGGTCAAGAAAAGGGCTATATACAGTAGCTGTCCATGTTCTAGCAGACTCTAGATTCCAGCACCAGCTAACACATCAAACATACATCAATCAAGTGGGAGCTTCCCTCCACGGTTATTGTAGAATTCCTTCCTTGACCCGGTGAAGCTGGGGCTCATCCCCGCTCGACCCGTCGCTCTCGTGCCCAGCGGCAGAACACCGTCTTGTAGCGCTTGACGGTGTAGGCGCCGTTGGGATGGCTGTTGCACTGGAAGGGTGCCAGCAGCATCGAGAAGAGCACGATGAAGAAGATTAAGAAGATGCTCCCAGCGGTCCTGGATGTGGCGCCGAAAAACAAGGGGGAAGAATCTGCATCGAGCGGTGTGAAGAAGAGGGTGCCAGGGTGCTGGTATAGACAAACGACGGATACTACGTACAGTATGTTACTATACAACTAAATCGGATGAAATAGGCTGTCGCCCCCAAAAATATCAACAATTACGGATGACATATATAGGATACACCACCTTTGGGGGAGTTGCCCACCCACCCGGCCTCGACAAAAACTACATCGCGTAACCGTTACCTTTTTTTCATGTGTTGTTTTTTGCGTTGGAAGGAAGTCGTCCTGGACACAGTGTCATGTGATCTTTTGAGGGTTTGTGGCCGTCCGAGCAGCACGCATTAGTAGCAGGCGCCAGCAAACGGGGCGATGCGAAACCAAACGATCTTTCGAGAAAAAAGATCGCATCACGGTGAACGAACGGCGGCGCAGCTTTGTGACTTCTCGAACAACAATGCCTCCCCCTTAGGCCCAAAGGATCCTAAAGATCCTAAAGGTAAATGTGCGCCTGCCATGTCATGGACCACAGGATGCCACAGAGATCGCCATGGACCTTTACAGAGTATCCATCGCCATCTCCTATAAAGGATCCTTTAGGCCTACCATGTCATGGACCGGATATGGTGATCGACTTCGTCGTCTCCTTTAAGGCCTGCCGGGTGGCCCACGAGTTCTCAGGCCACCCTTTCGGTGTCCGTGCCGCAGATCTAGCTTATCATGAAAGAGTGAACGCCTGACCAATGTGACTAGCTTGTAGTTGAGTGTGCAAGCTTGCACTTGATGATAGAAGTCAAGCCATCATAGTGCTGCCCGAAAACTCACACGGCCGTACCCAAACTCAAGCAGTGCAGGATTGAACTCCAGGTTCCTCTCGCGAGTCTCCTGAGCAAGTTGCTCCACCTGAAGTTGCGGGACCGGGACCAGCAAAGGTAGCACAGGTGCACGATCAACGCCACTAACCTGGGCATGGCGGCGTGCTCCTCATTCCCACTTCTGGTGGAGCTATATACTTGAACCAAAAACCCCGGGTGGGCACAAATGATACCTGTAAAGCTTCCAGCTGTGCACAACTTGACTATCACAATCACAAGCTGGACGGACACAGCAGGCCTAAGTGACTTCTGCATCGAGCCTATGGCCGAACCCTCCAAAGGGACACCTCTGGTCGATCAACACGCCGCTCTTGTGGAGGGTGGTATCAACAGCGCGCCGGGTGTCACCTGGTTGCATCTACCCGCACCCCACAGAAAACACGTCGGAGTCGGAGAGAAATGGCGACTTCAGGCAGCTCCATCCTATGTGGGTGGGTTTGACCATGTGAGAAACCCTCCCTGTGCATGTGCGACGCGCAGACGTCCCATCCTCCTCTCCGATCCGAAGGGCGGCGCCGCGTACGCCGCGTGGAGGCGGCGGTCTCGGGAGCCGAGGGGCATTAACAGCGGGATCAACAAAGCCCGGAAGCTGAACAAAGCCACCTCAAGCGAATTGATCGAGGTGGCAAAACCCAAACCATTTTCAGGTCATCTGCGGAGGAGTGCGGCGGCAAAGCAAAGTATCATCAGTTTACCAAAAGCATACAAAATGGCCGAGTATGTCCGTTCCGTGCGAGCTCGAACTCGCGCCGCACGACTCGTGCCAGGTGGTGTTTCTTTGTTCAGGTGGCTTGTCTGAACCGAAGCAGTTTCCTCGCTCTGCAAGAGGTTCATGTCATGATACATGTTCCCTGCAAATCTGCCACCCCAACATCCAAAGTAGTAGCAAGGACGCTACTAGGTGGAGGCCATTGGTGTGGAATCCGAAGCATGGTATGAAAACAGAACGACCATGGCGGTGTCAGGCACCAAAAAGGCCTCTGAATCCATGTGTTTTTTCGACGGGACGTTGGATTATCTTCCAATCCGGAGAAATTACCCAAGGCACAGAGCTGAGAGTGGCCACGCAGCTGATCCTTAGGTTCCAGATCACCATTTCTCAAGGCATCCTATGTATGCCGCAGTATGCCAATTATATTCATTTATATTAATAATTTCTATACCTATTATACCAGGACCCTCCAAGGGGTGCCCTGTCTGGAAGCCTAGGCCGGTCGTGTGGGGTAGTCCAGCCACACCCCAAAATGAGTTTCCAGGTTTATACAGATCTGTATACGGTATTTGTATCCTATTCGTCAGGATGTACGTAGATCTATTCGTGGACCTTCCACGGGTGTTGTGGACCAACACCCGTGGCCACGAGAGATAAGCACAACACCCGTTCTTCCGGCAAAGTTGCCAGTTCAAAATTCGCATTACAGTAGAAACATTATTAAAAGTCAGTGTGTGAAAACAAGTCAGTGTGTGAAAACAAAAGCAAATAAAACAGCTTGCATTTGCTTGACAAAATGCAATGTCCATTGATCGAATAGGCAGCAAAAAATGCATAGCTAGGAAGAGCCAGTGTGTCTGCAGTGTTAAACGTGGAGCCCAAACAGCACGGTTTTCCATGTTTTGTGCACCATCCGATGCCGTTTTTGCTTCATCCCATGAATCGTCAGGATTCATGGTTTGCATGGATAATTGACTCCCTCCGTTTCCCCAAAAATTCACCTATCTCCTCCATCCCGTTCGGTGCACTCGTGGGCTTCGACCCGCGAAACTCCCGGGTAGGCATAGCATCGAGAGCATGTCAAGATCAACGCTGAGGACCTCTAGAAAGACCAAAATGCTCGCGAAGGGCTCTCGCCAATCCTGGGCAGCTCGCGGGGTTTCTATCAATTGAGACGGAAGTACTGGGTTTGAACATGGTTGAACTTCCAAATCCGGGTGCTTCAGAAACCACCTGCTTTCGGGTCCCCAAACTGCCGAAGCTTGGAGGGTCCTGGTGGTTGAACTTAACTCCAAAGAACGAGACTTCAAGTCTCCCAGAAATCGGAAGGATGAATCAATTCGTCAGCCTAGTACATGTGACTGACAAGGCACTTATCCCCTATGGATCGACATACTCGCCCTTCTTACGGTGAGTAAGGGGACACCTTTGATTTAGAGTTGGAGGGGCCCCCGTCGTATAGAGACTTCCTTGAGAGAAACATGCATAGTAAATAGGCAAAAACCACCAGTTTGTAGCATTTCAACTTCCATGTTAGCTCCAAGGACTGTATGGATCGATCTTCTTGGCGCCAAATCAGCAAGTGTTCAATAGTGTTCAAATCATTTTACTCCGGGGTGATGGGAATTGGCAATTCGTACTTCTGAAAAGGATGTCCCTCCACAGTGGATGTTTTCTCCACTTTCTCTAGTGGAAAGCCACCCAAATAGGGACCCTCTCCCCGCAGCGCAGGGCCACAGGATCGCCGCGGGCTCGCTGCCCCTGAGCGTCAATCTCGAAGCGGCGCAGCACTGAGAGGATCTGGACCATGGTGATGAGTTGCTGAAAGCCCGAAGCGATGACCAACATGGAGCTGGGCTGCTTCCTCAGTGCTGCGAGAAACGCCTTGCGTGTGGCGTTTGAGTGCAGCGACTCCATAGCCTTAAAGGACCAGAAGCAGGGGAATGGGGTGATATTGGCAAATTGCAAAAATGCCTCAAGTGGAGACGTTAGTCCGAGGCCTCAGCTGTTTCACGAGAACGGAACATGACCTGGGTCCTGAGCTTGTGCCTTCTTTTGACAGCCAAAAAATAACTCACCATATCTCACCATCCCGCCCATCCCCAGTCATACAGCATGGTTGTGAGTCCGGGTCACGAGATGGACTCATAAAGCAGCATCAAATACAAGAATGCCACTGCACCTGACACGGCGGACAAGAAGCGGGTCCGCGTGAAAAACACATCCTTTCCTGACTTGAGGGTCATATCGTCTACTGTGTGCGTATAGACCTTGGGAAGCAAGACCCCCCCAAAAAAGACAATCATATATATATATATAATTACTCTGAAAGTTTAAAAACTGCACGAGGCTTTGCTAGAAACAAGGTAGTGTTTTGCTGACGTCCCAACACTTTAACCAGAATTAATACAGTAGCACAGGTGTTCTACGGCTTTTCAACGGGCTCGACTTAGTGCTTTGGAACATGCAAAACGTTTTGCAAAAACGGCTTGAATCTCTGTCTTCTCCTGAAACTTGCGAAACACTTGAATTTAATTCCGGCGATGAAGGAAATTTAGATGGAGGCCAACCAGGTTTAATTCAAAGCCAAAACTGTATATAGTATGGTATGGTTGAAGGAATGACTGAAATTTGAATTGATTTAAAAACTCCTTAAACCATGAGCATCCTGCGAAAAAGAATCCAGCACACACCTCCTCTCGCACTCGCCGCGCGTGTCAGTTTCCGGCTGGCTCCGGGAGCGCCTAGCAGCAGGACGATGACCAAGGCAAAAAAGAAAAAGTCGCCATCGGTGCACAGCTCGCATTGCCGGTCGCTCCCTTCGCGGAAGCCCTCCTGAATCAGCTCACAGTTGCTCACGGTGTTGCAACAACTTGGACTGAGCCCCTATGCCTCATGACCTGGATGACTCCCTGGCCGCCTTATTATAGGTCAGTGTCTGGGGTCGGACGCATTCAAGAACGCTCGATTGCGTCGTGAGCCTGATGTCTGCACCACCTGGGCATATGGGCCGTGCGCTTTGGCATTAAGCGCCGGGACTCTTTTGGCGAGTCACTTGCGCGAATCACTCGCGATGGAGTCCGCCCGAGTCACTCGCGTGGGGAGCGCTGTCTCCTTGCAGTTCACACAGGCAAAGCCCGACTCATCGCGGTTGGCCGCGCAGGTTCCCGGTGGGCCGCCTGGGGAGCTCGTCCCGAACCGGAGGTGAAGGTCCTGTAAAAATCGACAGACCTTGGTCTTGGTATATTCTATATACAGACCTTCCAACTGAAACAGCTGCCCCTGGCAGTCGGAGGTATGAGTTGTTGGCTGCACCGCCATGGATGGGAGGCTTGTGACGTTTCAGAACGGACCGATTTTACACCTTCACAGGCCCTAAAGAGATGGTTCATGGACCACGCCATTTGGGGAATTTTGGAGACACGACCCCTGGAACTGACATACCCCAACAGGGCAGGTGTGTTTTTTTCAGAGATCGACACGGCAGCAGATGGTCCAGACAAATCACATGCTCCTAATACCCAGCAATCCAAGGGATTCGCATGGTCTCCGCACTCATATATACATACATTGACATATATATATATATATTATATATTTATATTATAAGGCTTCTGCATGAACAGCTGCGTCTATGCAAAGCCCTGGGTCCAGTTCCATTCGGTGCTGTTGAGGTCTCTGCTGTGACATGTTCCTGGGCCGCCTGTTTCAGGGCAGCCCAAAGCAGGACATCAACGCTGATCTTTGATGAAAAACCACACGGCTCATCACACGAATATCTCTTTGATGATCTTTGATGGACGTACTTGATCACCAGTACTTCTAGACCGAAGGAGGAAGACTGAAACCCCTTCGGGAGATCTTGAGGGTCGGCTTTCGGACCGATATCACCAGGACGCCGGGCTGGCCGACCTCCGATTCGAAGGTGGTTGGGGATGTTGGGGTGGGTTTGGTGATCTAACCACCTTACCTGAGGATATGGCCTCCAACCTAGTAGCCATGGTTGGAGCCCTAGGGTTTCTTCAACGTCACACACGTCATGCGCCTGGGCAAATCCGTTGGTCAAAGCAGTTGTAGACCTCCAGAGGTGCCGAAGGCTTGGAGAAGTAGCCGGGCAGCCTGAGAGACATTCCGGAGGAATCACCGAAGCTGAAGCAGGGTACCCAACAAAGCCCCTTGCCCGTCGGGGGTAACTGGTTGGTTGGTATTATGTGTGTATATATATATGTATATATGCATCAAATGGCAAATGATGCTAAATGGCAAAAGTGAGAAAAGCAGCATGATCAATGATCCCTGTTGGATGGTGGCAATCCCCACTCAAACATCGATTAAAAAGAACTTTTGGGTCGTAACTCACCTGAATCGACCTTAGAGGACGGCACGCCAGGTCTGATCAACATGCCCATGGAATGATCACCAGCGATGTGATCAGCACCTGACATCATCCTTGTTACGTCCAAGGCGCGGCTGGCAGATTCTGCAGCCAATCGCTGGCAAGGGTAATGTTCCCTAGTTCCAAACGTGACACTGGACTCCACAGTCCTGGAGTTTTAGGAGCATGCTTCGATTTGGAGCACGGGCTAGGGTCTTTATCTTATGACCCAGCTAGGATTAGCACGGCCCCCGCTAGCCAACGCACTGCGCCCGAAAAGCCAAGCATGGGCGCCAGAATTGCATCTTGCATCTGACACTCTGCCCCCTGCCCACTCTGGCTGCCCAAGAGGCAGCTCTAAGCGATTGGCACCAGGACAACTGGAGCCTTCGGAGCACTCCTGGGGAGAAAGGAGACCGAGAGTGTCAGAACTCCTGGCTCAAATCCAGGCATCTACTTGGGAATCACCCCGGAAGACAGCTAGCCGTCGGCTAGTCGTGCTTGGGTGTATACTATATGCTTCCAAGGTGGATCCTTCAGAGGACCGGTCCCAAGCCCAGGGGCAAACCTGGAGCTGTGGGAGATCCCAAGCTTTCGAACTAGACCCACTGACATGTAATTCCCAAAAATGAATCGAAAGCTTCACTACTTCAAACATGTCGACAGTGCCTCCTACCTTTGTTAAAACAACTGACCAGAATCATCAGCCAGGCCAGTCTCCCTAAAAACCGCGGGTTCCCGCCACGCGTGGGAGTTGCCTCACACCGGCCCTGCCACAGGAAGCTGCCACGATCACAGCGGCAAAAAGACTGCGAGGTGGCGCCCTGCAACTGAATCACCACCTGAAAAAGGGCGGTGGGCCCGCCAGGGGCCCGTCTTCTGAGAGACGCCGAGGGGCCCCTCCGTCTGGACTTCCATAAGACCATACATGCATATCCCTACAAGTCAATGATCTCATTTTACTGGAGTTGGTCATACGATAACACTACTCAAGGAGGTACCAGTAGGAGACAAGGTTTTACTAGGTCTTAGGTCTTTGGACTTGTAGGGTATATAAATACCATGGGCTTTCGCCTTTCGCTGTGCCACAGGCTTGCCAAGGCTTTTTCAACAGCAGTGTCACCTATGACAACATCGATATGTGATCCGTGATTTGGTTTCAATACCTATATACCTATCCCATCCCTCTGTAGGTTCAAACCTTTCAATCTGAACTGGGGAGGAGGGCAAACCTTTCCGGAGAGTCTAATGACTTGTCAATCAAGGAAGAATCATAGCACGCGGTGTTCACCCACATAACCAGGTTCAGGACTGCGCCAGATGGAGTAGAGGGGGTGTTGCAAATGAATCACCCAACCAGAATGGGATGGCATCTCCAGTCCTGACGGGTTGAATAGGGTTCAATTCATTCAAAACCTGGAGTTCCAGAGCACTTCCCTTGACACCTGGCCCACCTCCATGAGGTTCGATGGGACGGGGGGTCGACCACCGAACCTGAGGAGATGGGCCAGGAGCTTTAGGGTGATCACCTCAGCTTCCGGTGCCCAGCGACCAGCTTCCCCTCGGAGGTGACTTCCTGACTCGTCGTCCACCAACTCTCCTGGCCACTGCCACTGCCACACCTGGACCGTCGACCATCTCGGGGAGGGAGACCGTATGGTTTTTTGGTTTTATTAATGTTCTGACCTATTTGGGGGTCTATGTGTTCGATTTCAGAAGTCGATTTGGCGTAGAAAGGCGGATGCACTTCGTTGATGTTCCAAAACCCATGCGGATAATCAGGAGCAACAGTACCCAAGAGCAAACGTGAATACACGGCATGCAGGGTGGCAGAACAAGTCACCGTATACCAGGACCCTCCTTTCGGTTTAGATAGCTGATAGCTCCTTTTTGGCGCTTTCAGGGGTAAATCCACCTGTTGGAAGGTCCTGGTACCAGTGACGGGTCTTGCTCTTGCCGAATAACCAAACTAATAGAAGCCGAGTCTATAGAAGCTTGGTGTTGTCCGAGTCGGACTCGACGACGTGTTTCTCCGATCCTTCGCTGAGAATCCGATCCGGAGCCCGGACATGTGACTAAGGAGCTTTAAGCTTTAGTGAGATATCCATTCAAAAATTCCATGGACGATATAAGGGATGCTATATACTTACCATAGGGGTCTAAAAGAATGGCCTTTTCACACTCGCTTCAGAACTCGGGGCAACTCGCCACTTGTGTCCGCCTTGGGTGAAGACCTCACGTGAGGTCAACATCCAACATTCTGATGGGCACTGGCATCAGCCAAAATCATCCAAACTTCACACCGGAAAACTGGGACCATCAATGTGCAATGCTGCGGAGATCCACATCTTGTGGAGCATGACTGAGTATTCACGCAGCGTCCCAACGAACCCATTGATCACATCACCACCAATCATGACCCCCACTCCACCCTTTGAACCATTTGTTGCCTCAGCACTGTGACCACCTGCCCCTCCCAAAGCCAGGCGCCGGTAGCAGCTGCTCATGCCGCTGCTGTTGGCGTATTCTCCCAGGCCACAGGGCTCACACCGTGTGGCGCCATCGGCCTGGGCGATGGTCCCCAGCTCGCACAGGCGGCCTGGCCGTGAAGCTAGTAGCGTCCTTGCTAGTAGTAACAAGGGCATGGCTACTAGTAACAAGGGCATTACCCTTGCTCTTAGTAGTGATGCACTTTGTTACTAGTAGCTTCTTGTTACTAGTAGTACTGCTAGGAACTAGTAGTAGCGTACTTGTTACTGGGTGCAACGGGTGCAGCTGCAATTTGGTGGAGTTCTGTGTGGGCGGAGCGGGGTGTGTTTTGGGGAGCTCGGCAGAGTTCGGTCTAGCTCGGCAGACATGCGCACGTGCGGTTGAGGTCCTGAGAATACGTCGACGTCTTGACTATCCCTGAGACTCTAACTGCCTCCAAGGAAGGTGGGACAGGGGTGGGTGAGTGCAACTACATTCTGATCAGTGGGTTGGTTTGAGTGTGGGCAGCAGTGTCTACAAATTACGAAGCTCACACTGAAACCCACCCACTTACCTGACGGTCTACACCATGAAGGGTGCGGGGATCTAAGAAACACATTCATATTCAGATTCACGACGATCGGAAATCAGCAATCACTGCGACAGCGACAAAATGAGAATCAAAGTGCCAGATGTCACGGGATCTTCGGGAGACACATCAAATTTGGAGATAAAGATCGGATTGAACTAATGGAAACCAGAAAGAATCGTGACTCATCACTTAGACTCAGACTTTTTGCGACCAAAGAATCGGGAATGGGAAAACACACATATCACATATAATCGCATGATTCATCCACAAACGCACTCAAAAATTAACTTCCACAGAGTCAAGCAAAAGTTTCATTGTCCTAGTTACTGTACTAGTTTTCAACAACAAGTGAAGCACCAGCAACGCTTTCTGAGGTCCCTCATCCACAGTGGCATGACAAACCCAAGGACTCACTCACTCCCAAATGAAGACTAATCATACAGGATCAAGAGCTTATTTCCATGTTCTACTCTACAGAAAGAATATGAAAAAAAATGTGCCTGATCCTCAGGGGCATGCCTCTAAATGACTGATACAACGGCTCGCTCCTTTAAAAAAACATATCAAGAGTCAAGAGTTAATCTCTCTGCTCTACGAAATGAAGCACCGGCAACGCAAGTGAGGCACCTACATCAAACAACTGCTTCATCGCTTCGTTCTTCCAAGTGACCGAACTTGAGATCCCAGAGTAAGCTCACTTAGGCTCCCTAAATGGGTCATTTTGGGACGAAACAAAAGGTCACTTTGAAGAAGAGGGATGAGGATCGATCATTTCGTCATTATTTCTCCACAAAATGGGCAATTTGGTATCCAACAATATTCTGACAACACAAAATTACCTCCATCCCCCTTCTGTTTAGTCAATGCAAAACGTCATTTTCTTATAAGGTTAAACAACACACATAGTCACATGGGTATGTATAGGGCCGTGGAGAACAAAACTTCGGATCCAGGACGCATTCGGAGGATCCGAAGGTGTTCTGGAAGCTGCCGGGTGCACAGGGACGGCAAATGCGAGTCTCCATGGACTTGAGCGAAGTACGTCCCGCAGGACAAATCGCGCAGTCCTGGGAGAAGCAGGTACCATGATGATCTTGAGCACCTGAGGTTCAAATACGTTCTATTTAGTACTTGCAACAACCAAAATGGACTTCTACTTAGATTTCCTATTATGTCCTATTTCCTGTATAGGGGATCTCTAGGGTGAGTGACCCATGAGGATGTCTTTGGCTCTTCAGTCAGCTCCAAGCATCCACGGCGTCCGCCCGGGACATCACGAAGTCCCCTTGCAAGTTCACCAGGCCCTTACCGATGGAGCACACCGTCTTGTCCGGAATCCATTCCGCCCAGAAGTTCCGGTTCGCTTGGAGCCATGTACAGGCCGTACCCCAGTAGTCACTGGCAGCCGTCTGCGCGAGAATCAAAAGCAAGGCTTGCATGTCGCCTTAGGCCAGATAGAAAGACAAACTGTTCCTATCTGTTCCTCTACTTTGGGACACGGCATGGCGGAGAAATCAACATGACGTTGTGCCTATTTGGCCAACATGACGGCCTTGTCATTCTGGGGTAGATTGAACCTCTCGTGCAACATCGATTGTTTCATCGTCTAGACTCCCGGATCCGAACCGGGATGAGGGAGCAGGTTCACTTGGAGGGTCCACCCTTGGAGGGTCCAGGAGAAACCGAGCCTGAGAAGGGAGCAGGTCTGTTCTCTTCTCTCCAGGCGTCTAGGCTGCCATTGGCTGCCATTGGCTGGTCGTGTGTTCGGATCGATGAACGTTCATACGATTGACGTCGATGTTTTCCAGCCAATTGGATGAACGTCCGGCAAACCGTCCGAGTCGGTCATTTTGTCCTCTAAGACTCTACCATCCGGACCGCTCCGGTTTTGGTTTGGATCGAGCAAACATCGGGGCGTTCTGGTGGACCGACCATCGGGCATCGACTGCGATGGAGGGACAAGGACTTGTCTGCAACTGCAACATTCTGCTGGCTCATCACTTATTAGGAGGCTTGCAGCGTCTTTAACACTGAAGAAACGCCTCGGGCACAAAGCCAAAAGTGGTTTCCACCTGCCAACCCTGCCGCCCCTTTGACTGTGGGACGATCAGCCCGGGTCCCGGGCTGGGGCAGGGTCGGTCACAACACATGACTGATGCTACTGTTACTGAAGGAAAACGTCTTGCACCACCTGCATTCACCTGCCATGCGGAAAACTGGATTTCTTCCAACAGCTGCCGGTGGGAATCAAACATGACTCAAACCGCTTTAGTTTTTCCTGCTGCCTGATTGGCAAGCTGGAACCTCTATGCGCATTCTGCTTACAATATATGTATATAGTGGGTTGTTTGCATCTTCTTCAGCTAACTGCCAACTTCAGGCTCAAAACCTCTCAATATAGTGTTCTTCCGGAAAAACGCCATGACCAGCACCGGCCCAGCCACTGTCGGAGATCCGCACGTTCCGTGCCAGGCCATAGGCTCGATCGGCTGCAAGGTCAAAGCCGGCCGCCACGTGCGTGGCGAGCACGGAAGCTTCCTGAGGAGAGCGAAAGCATTGACCGTGCGAGAGCCGGATTTGATGCATTTGACCGTGTTGATTTCTAGGTGTGTGCGTGTGTGCGTCTCCATATCTCTCTCTCTCTCTCTACACTTCGACCATCCTGATCGGCGCAAAAAAAACAGCGGCCCTGCAGAAGATAGACTGTTGATTTCCCGAAATCCTACACCACCAAACCCCAAAAACACGACCAAAACCAGGTCTGAATCAGTCCTGAAACTTCCAAAGGGTATATTCAAGCGAACCCAGTCCAGTTCCAACTATTGGAGTATGAAATTGATCAACCACAATGTCCTTCTCTCCCTCTCCCTCTATCTATCTATCTATCTGTCTGTCTGTCTGTCTGTCTGTCTGTCTGTCTGTCTGTCTGTCTATATATATTTATAATCTCTTTCTCTCTGTGTGCACAAGTACGAGTGTGACACAGCCGGGCCGTCTTGCAGGATGCCGATTTGCAGGTGGGTCTCGTTCTGGGACTGGAACAGGTTCTGCTTGTACTCAGATTTGCTATATGGAGGAAGCTCCACCAAAGCGGGCTCATAGAGCACAAATGATGAGTCTGGACTCCACCAATAGGCCATGGACCTGCATCACTTGGCAAGTTCCAACGGGATACTCAGAGATTCTTGGATTTGAAAAATGCCTGGTTGTCAAGGCAAATACACGAAGCCGATCCGTTCAAAGCAACACCCCAATGCATGTCCATGAATGTACACTGACCACCCTGACTGTGGATCGATTTTCTTCTGCTCAGTGACTGGAGATCCTTGTTGATCCTCAAATAGGTGGCATAGTCTGCAGCGGTAGCAAACGCCAGTGGCATGTTGTGGAAGAATGCCTGCTGACTCATTTCTCGTATGCCCCATCCCTGACCAGCAGTCACCGCAGCAATACAACTTGATGGTACATCTCGGCATGCTGCAGATAAGAACCACTTTTCTTGCCAGCAATTCATCATGATCCTTATCAGAACGGAGTGCAGTGAAAGCGCGGCATCAGCACTGCCATGATGCAAAGGGCACTTCCGAGGTGATGGCGGACTGCAACGTTTCACTACAAAAATGAGGATCTCTTTAACTCCATTCAATTGTACCTATATGGATTCAGTTCATTGATTGGGCTCAAGGTGCTATACCATATGCGACATGCCATTGCCATTCAATGCGTTAATATACTCGTTTGCCCAAAAATGGGTGGAAACCAGTGGACACTATGATGCCAATGCTGGGGTGAACTTCGTGCGTTTCTGCCGTGCCTTTTCCCCTCCCCCCTCTTGGAAAAAAACATCCCAACACTGATCCAGTCGTACCTTCTCAAAAGGTGATTGGAAACACTCTTATGCAAGTGCCAGGAGGATCCAGTCGTACCGAACCTGAGAAGGTACGGCTGGATCCCTACTGTCACACATCAGCCCTCTGATGGATCCATTTCAGCGCCGTGCCCTTCGTCCGCCCGCCAAAGCGGCCGGCCGGAGGCTGGATCGGTTCGAACGCCCAGGGAATCCCCGGTGATGGCCAAGTAGATCTCTGCAGTCAAAGGATAGCCGAGATCCACACCGTCTGCCTCAGCCATGGGTCAGGAGGGAGATGTCCATGTTCTTCAAGAAATGCAAAGGGGACGACCAGCATTGACTAAACTAAAGCCCATTGGTTCTCCGTAATTATTGGGTCTTTGAGGCAATCCTCTTCAGGCGAATCAACTGCGTCAGGTGTGATGAACCGAGACGGCTGACATAAAGGACCAGGAAGGCTGTCAAACTCCAGCAATCCCGAGAGAACTCAACAATCCCAAATCACCCATGCATAGAGTAGTTGTATCCTTGCATGAATCAGGGTCAAAAGAAAGGTACAGGGTCAACAGAAAGGTACTTTTCCAAATGTATATTATACTAAAATATATGGTAAACGGTAAATTATATTAATTACATGGATGGTCTGGGACTACTCCATCATCATCTGTTTCCGACACAGTTTGGAAAGGACATCAGTGGCCCTTTTCCACTTCCACGTCTTGTCAGCCAAGTGTAACTCAAAGGCACGCATGTGGCAAGATCGTTCAAATCCACCTCACTGATGTTGGCCGCATACTTCTCTGGGTGGAACCACGAAGCATTGAGATTGCCTGAACTGTGTGCAACATACCCCAACCGAGCTTGCCACAGGCCTCCCGTGTGTGTTTCCACTAGTACAAACCTCACATAACGCTTGTGTTTGACTCTGTTTTACGATCTTTACAAACACCCTTGCTTGACATGTTTCTAGAATATAATAACGCTCTTCATTGACACTCTTCTATACGACACTATTCCTGGACATTCTTCTAGGACACCCTCGTCGGAACTTTTGTTTGACACTCTTGTGAGACATTCTCGCACGACACTCTTGCTTGACCCCCTTAAGCGTGGGACACTCCTGTAGGACACTCTTGTTTGGCACAACTTTGTGGGACACTCTCCAGGACACTACCCTTGTAGGATATTCTTCGTGGGACGCTCTTGCGTGACACTGTTGGGTGACACTCTTGCAGGGCATGCTTATGGGGGCACTCTCCTGCGACACTGTCGCTAGAGTCTCTCGTGGGACCTGTTTGCCTGACACTCTTCCAGCACTCTTACTGAGATTCTTGCTCCACAGTCATATTGTGCGAGTTTGTTTCTTGAAACTCTCTTGTGAAACGTAAGCACGGTACAGCTGTTTCAATTTGCCACCTGCGCTGGCCCGGCGCGATGTTCACATCCGGTCGTTTCGTGACCCACAAATGTTCACATGACACACTGTCTCGCGAAGGTTGCAACTTGCAAAAATCAAAAGGTCGGGGGGCAAAAGAGTCATGTCGGCCCTCTCGTTGGGGAAGGTTTTGGAGGTCTTAGATGGATGCCGAGTCAAATTTGTTTGAAATAAACAGCGTGGAATTTGCGCACAAACAAGGCTTCCAAGTGCGACGTGGGATTTTGCTGCGCAGGTGCAAGGTTTTGTCGAGTGTTGCAATCCTTGTAAAGGTTTGCTTGTGAACTGGTGTGCTAGAGATCGTAGCAGGTGCAGTATTTTGTGGACGTCGCTGGGATTTGGCACGCTGGACTAGATGCTCTTAGAGCTTTGATGACACGTCCCGCTTCGCTTTCACTCTTGGAGCAAGTCTCGTGGCGGGGTGAGATTGCTTTCTTTGCCTCACCATGCCTCACTCACTAAGTCACTAGCTGCGCTTGGCGCGAAGGTGCGGCTCCTCAACATCGAAAGCCTCCAGTTCAGTGGAATCAACTACCCAACATCTTCTCACCCTCCTCGCAATCTGCCCTCCTGCACTGTCAACCTAAAATCTCCACCTGATGATTTTCTCTATTATAGGGGGGTGCGAAGGGAGGACAAACGTTGAGAGGAGCAGCATGTTCATCCTTCACTTGGCTCGATTTCACCAGGTAGCCATAGTAACTCATGTGGATGCCTGTGTCGGCCCGGCTCTTGCGTCGTGCAATGCCCAGGACATACAGGCCATCGATACCCAAGTAGCCCAAACTGCCTGAGCTCCCAACCCGGAGTGTGGATGATGAGTCGGAGGGGCCAGGGATTCGGGTGCATATGAAAAACCCACACCCACATCTCATACCAGCAGTTCAATCTATGGAATGAATGATGATTGAAACTCATCGCCGTAGCCGAACCGGTCGGGGACCGCTCTTGTTTGAAGGCGCTCCTTGTCTCCGACGGCAAGCGCACGCCGAGCACTGAACTGGGACCGACCCTCCTTCGTCTGGAACGCAAAGGGGGCCGTGCTGCCCATGTGGGCCACCAAATGAAACACGAAAACAACATATGAGGTCGACCCACTTGTTTTCACTGCAAGAGTCCCAAATTCTTTGGGCGTCGCTCGCCCAAAGCTTCCTCTTTCTGAAGCCAGGATGTCGATGCAAATGATCCTTAGAGCCGCCGTCGACCGACACCGTTGTAGCAGCAGCTAGAGCAACAGTTGCAGCCAGTGTGCACCACCTTGTAGCGTTAAGCACAACACGACTTATAACGAACTGTTCTCCAAAAGGACAGTTTGAACATGATACAAGGCTGTACTTCACGGCAGGAACCGCGCGCGCGGGGTGCCGCGTGGCAAATCCAACAGTTGGTTTACCAACAATAATGTTGTGCATGGTACATAGACAAGGAACCATAATATTATTACTGTAGTAAATCCTTTAAAAAACAACAAAAAAACTACTATAATATTGTGTATGTGAGCTGAACTGTGTATTTGCAGTCCTCGATTGATCTGCCTTCGAATCACCAGCCCTTCAGGCCTCGAGGCCTCTCGGCCTCCGCTCTACTCCACTATACTCAGCGAGGAGCCCTCCCAGTTCTCCAAGGCAACGTGGCAAAGAGGCGGCCAAGTGCAGTTCTCCAACAGTCCCGCCTGACGGAAGGTGAACATGCAACACGGCAACGCGGCTAGCCAGCTAGCCTACACGAGGTGCCCCTCGGCACCACTGTTTCTTAGCTCGGCTCGGGGGTCGGGAAACATGGGGGGATTGGACGGCCAACGGTTGTCTTGCCTCAACGTAAAGCACAGGTGTAGAAACATTAATGATCGGATGATTACTGTATGCTATTATGTGTTAGAGCTATAGGCTATAAGGGCAATCATCAATTGTCTCACGCCTCCTTTCTTTACCCGATTCAAAGAACAACCCACGTCCAGTCGATCGGCGACGTCACATCAAACGGGCTGGTTGGTTTCTGGTGCTCCGAAGATTGAGGCAATCCGCGGAAGCGCTGCCCAGGAGGATAACACGGAGGTCGGCAACAAACACATGCAAAACACAGTGTGGGATCTGCGATCATCCTAAGGTATCGACGTTGGTGCTTATGTTCCATCACATTAAGTGGATTTTCTCCAAGGCACGGTGACCGGACAACCTCCTAAGCAGTGGAGATTGTCACTGCTGCCTGCGCGCAATTGCTTCCTTGGAGGTGCAGGTGATGTCCAACGAGGTTCCGCGATGTCACACCGTGGTTCTTCTTGAACATGAACCGCCACAGATCCCCAGGATGGGATGGAGGTGACATCGCCTCACTCTGCATGGGGAAGAACAACAAGTCATCGCCTTTTTTCACATCTAACATCCGATGGTGACTGCTTGCCTCCGTGAAAAAGGACTGCACTGCCTCTGCAGTACACTACAAGTATTGTGGATCCACAGCCACCCTCTTTTGGAGGGTGATTGGAGACACAATTTCAATCAAGTTCATGTAGGCGCCAGGAGGGTCCAATCGTACCGAAGCTGCGGATCCGGACCAATACATATATTGGATAGAGCCTATCAAATCAACGGTGATTGGGAGCCGGAGCGGGGTCATCGGGTCAGCACCAAACTCCGACTGGGCACCCCCTACCCCCCACCAGCCCTCCGACTAACTCGCTCTGCCTGACTCCCAAGACTGGCATCTGAGTGTGATAGCCCAAGACTTCGGAGGTCAAAATACCATAGACCTCCCCCATCACCTCGGAGAGTCCCAAAGCCCATCCATTTCGGTCGGCGAATGGATGTTTTTTTAGGACGCGGATGTTAACAGACAGATGTTAACTAGCAAATATATACTGCACCAAGAACGCGATCCAAGATGAGCCAAAAGAAAACGATACCTATACCAACAGCAAGCTTGTGCAATAGTCATTTCTTTTAGGCCAAAATAGTGCTCTATCAGATACGAAGATTCCAGAATGTAGCTCTCTGAGACTCTGTTATATTTATATTTTGAGACTCTTAGGCCTTAGGAAAGGGTCAGATAACTCTCTAAAGCTCTTTAATGACGTCTACGTCTACGTTTCCCTGCGGGTTTCACGCTTGTCGGTGGGCCTTCGCCGAATCCCAATCGCCTGCACGAGCAATTGAAAAACGGCCCCCAACGTTTGGTTGCTGAACGAGGCTGAACAACTGAGAAATGAATTTGCCCGAAGATGCTGTTCATTGTTGATATGGAATAATATGGAATAATTAATTTGTAAGTGGTGGATATTGACAGAAATCAAAATTCATTCTTAGCCAGAAACATTGAGACTTCTCCGATCAGGAGGCCTCTTCACCCGCGTAGGGAACAACGTTAGTCTTCGTAGAATTTGTCGGATGCTCTATATGACCGAAATGAGCGAAATGGAGGATCGCGAGAAATTAGGCGATGTTTTGTTTTGTTGTTTCAATTCTTTCCACATACTCCGACTTGAAAATGCATGGCTCGGAATTTGCTATTGTGCCATCTACTGGCCATTGAGACAATTGGCAAATCTACCCAAATTTTCTCCAGTACATGGCGCAACATGACCTTTGTTTCTTTAAGATCTTTTATCCTTAAGGTGTGTTGAGCCGTCTATTGGCAGAAAACCGGTTACACACACATGAATTGAGCCATGTATAGCCTCGCTACTTTCTGCCCGGAGTTGCGCCATCCATTTTTACCCCGGTGTATCAATATGTTGAAATGTGGGTGTGCTCTGACATGCCTAATGGCCCAACAAGCATCCCTCTCTCTCTCTATATCTTGCAAAGGTCTTGGCTGAGGACTGTCCCAGCAAGTGTGAGACCAACCAAAACCCGAATGCCCGCTCCCATTCTTTCAATATTGGCAGAACCTTTCATACAATAGATCTTCCAACTGTGCAAAACTTCTGCTTGCATCTATAAAACCAGCCAAAAGGCCGAACATTTTGCGTAGTTGGAAGATCTAGGTATGTGGGGCAATCCCGAACATTGCCTGGAATTCTCCCCACTGCAGGGGGCAAGCGGACGCGCAGCGGACACGCAGATCAACTTGGAAACCCAAACAAGCAACAAATGGATGTTTCCCCCGTCCCCACTTCTTCTGTGAAGGACTCTCGAGCCATGTTGGAGCCGTTTCGACATCGGCTGCGGACTGGCTACACCACCCCAACGGCTCGCCACCACCGGAACCAAGGTCAAGGAGCCGAAGGTAATGCCAATGGGCATGGACACACCATTCATGGAAATGTTCCTGCCCAGTTGACGCCACCCGTTCGGGTTCGGGGTCGTGTTGCCCCGAATGGTCTGGCGGCTCGTGGCCGGGTCCGGACCGGTCGGGCTGCGCTGTTCTGCGCTGTTTCAGTCCCCAGGAGCGCTCCGGTCGCCCCGTTCGTGGAACTCCTTGCGAGGACGATCCCCGTGTCCTCTGCCCGTGAGTGACTTGGAAGGGGGGAAAAGGACATTGGAGTCGGAGAATCCCAAGGGGTGCTGTACAACTGGAGGCCGAGGTGGCTCCCAACAGGTCCAACCTCTGAACCACCGAGGATACATGTGCGGCCCGCACGAGCTCCGAGGCGGTGGAGGTGTTCCGGGGTCGCCACAAAGTTTTCAACGGCAGAACATGGTGGGACTGCGGAGATGGTTTTTGTCATGTGCCTGCAGGCCGGCCAAAGGTGGTCGAATTCTTCACACCGAACAACGAGGTGGCGTGAAACACGCGATAAACACCATCATATATACAATAGACCGCATGCAAGGGTTGTCCTATAGGAGCTGTTTCTGGCCCAAAAGTCTCCAGACTCCGGAATTTGAAAAAAACTCCCTAGGCCCTAGACACTCAAATGGACAGGTACTTACCTAGACCCCCAACCCACGGGACTTTTTCAAAACATGTCAAAAGCATACAAGCTTCAGCACGCAGCATGCGCAACGCTGCGTGCCAGCAAGTAGTTTCGCAACGGGGTGGGTGACGAGACAGCTAAGGTCGAAGGACTCAGCTGTCCCTTTTCCACCTTCCAGTGCCAAGGGTCCCCCTGACACCGCGACGCGCCGTGTTCTGACCAGGGTAAGCCACAACCACCCTGGTGTCTATTTCCTACTAAGTCACTGGAAAAACATGGAATGAAACACATCCTACCTGGACCCTCCAAGGGGTGTCCAATGGACTACCCCACACTACCTATAGGCTTCCATTGGGCACCCTTGGAGGGTCCTGGTATACATGGAATTGACTCTTTGATGCTGAGGCTGCACCAAGTTGCACTCCCCCACAGTTGGACTAGCTGGGCCAAGCATCTGTCGTTGCTCCCTGGGAATGGCATCGGGCAGGCAGGTCTGTGCATCGGCACCGAGGAAGAGGAGCCAGGCCAAGAGAAACATGAAGCCTCGGAGGGACGCCGGTGGAGAGTCAAAGACCCATCTAACGAGATGAGATGGTGGCACTGCAATGAAGCAACTGGTAGAGGTGGATGTACCCAATTCCTCGAGCCGAAGAAGTTAGGAGACCTTTCCTCTGGGTGAGAACCATTGATGTCAAGCCCTCTGCAACTCTACAATCAACAATTGGTGTGTGTGTGTCCACCTCTGTAACTAAGAGTTTCTGTTTTTCTCAACTTTTAAGTCGCAGGGGGCGTGACGGTCGATTTCCTAGTCACGCCAACGAAGCTAGGGAAATCGACCGGATGGAAGTTTGGACGCAAACTTCTGTACCTGCGCGGATGAAAACTTTTGCACACGCTGTGACTCCACTTTTCCTTTTGTTGTTTCCATGGTGGTTGTTCGCATGATATCCCCCAAAGCAGGTTTCCTTAGCTTTGGTAAAGTGCTAGTGCGTTTGTTAAACAGTTGTGTTCTTCGGACCCTTGCACCTTACCGTTCTTGCAGCAAAGGGCTAGTGCAGTAACTAGCTTCCGCAGTCAAGTGAACAACTCCTTTGTTAAAACACCTTCAAGTGCTCCGACTCTTTCACCTTTCGGTTCCATCGCCATTTTTCCTGGGAATTGAGTTAACTGCAAACCAATGTCAGAGTGTGACGCGCTCAGTCGTCCCACTTGGGTGCTGGGTGTGATCCTCCGCAAGGAGGCGCTGTCTTCAATCGTGTAACTGACTCCACCGTTCTCCACCTCTCTTTGGATTTTCTTAACCGCTTTAGTTTCAATACTGGATTTACTGAATTTGATGCCGTCGGGCTTACGAAATACCTCCACTTGCATCTCCACTTGCATTTCCATGTGCTGCATTTCCATGTGAGGAATTGAGACCAGTGAAGCTACTGTCCACACTTGCACTTCCACACACCCCCCCACCTTGCAACCTAATTCGTGTTTCTATCCCACCCGCTATCTAGGGTAACAGAAGGAAATGGTACTCGACACACTTGTGTGTCGGTACCTTTCCTTCTCTTTCTCCTTTTCTACTCCTAGCTACCCGGGCGGTTTAAGACGTATGTCCCGCTCGCTAACTACTGCATTTAATTCATTCGGCTAAGTAGTCAGAAACTAGCAGGTTTCGTAACTAGTGGGCCTTGTCACTACACCTATCTTTCTCTCTTTCCTTTGCGTTTTCCTTTCTGTCTTTCTTTCCTTTCGTTCTAAGGCTTTTTAGGTGATTAGTAAGTTCCCCCAGAGCGCCGATATCGGCGTTCTGTGTGTGTCCACCTTTGTAACTAAGAGTTTCTGTTTTTCTCAACTTTTAAGTCGTAGGGGGCGTGACGGTCGATTTCCTAGTCACGCCAACGAAGCTAGGGAAATCGACTGGATGGAAGTTTGGACGCAAACTTCTGTACCTGCGCGGATGAAAACTTTTGCACACGCTGTGACTCCACTTTTCCTTTTGTTGTTTCCATGGTGGTTGTTCGCATGGTATCCCCAAAAACAGGTGTCCTTAGCTTTGGTAAAGTGCTAGTGCGTTTGTTAGATAGTTCTGTTCTTCGGACCCTTGCACCTTACCGTTCTTGCAGTAAAGGGCTAGTGCAGTAACTAGCTTCCGCAGTCAAGTGAACAACTCCTTTGTTAAAACACCTTCAAGTGCTCTGACTCTTTCACCTTTCGGTTCCATCGCCATTTTTCCTGGGAATTGAGTTAACTGCAAACCAATGTCAGAGTGTTCTTTGTTTCGCCGCCCTAAGCGCTCCAAGAGGTCAGTGACCAGTTATAATATGTTGAAATCATCTGTCTCGTCTTGTAACCCAAGAACAAGGATACTCACCTCTGTTTGAAGGACAATCGCCTTCTTTAGGCCGTGCCATCCACTTCCATAGAGTCATAGGTACTGGTTGGTACATGTTGGTACTTCATGGGCCAGAATGGACAACACCGGGTCCAGCACCCGACTGAGCCAGGAGCTCTCCCACAGCCATTGCCAAGTTGCACGGCTTCACCGTGTTCCTCGGCACCGGTGAGGATCAGGCATCGGACCGTGCTGGCACGCTCCGAAAACGAGACCGACACGCACAGTGACCTCAAAACAGTGTCCTTCCTATTACTTGCAGGGGCTCGACTTGTTCATAATTAGGGAGAAAGGTCCTTGTCCAAAGTCCACCGACGAGAGGGTGCTGCGGGGACGGGACCATCCTCAGAAGGTCGGAGCGTTTGAAAATGGTCGACCTGACAGTGACGGTGACAGTCGTGACAGGCCAAAACGTTCGATAGAAAACCTATGGTATGCCATATGTGGAGTGGCTGGGTTCTCAAAGGCATCACCATGTGGCACACCACCAGGAATTCAAGTCTTTTATATAGTACCACTCACCTGACTGACTGGTCCATGGGATACCTGGAAGCAAAATTCAATGGCTCTTGGCTCTTTCAATGAAAAGCATCTGATCGTCTTCCAAACAATTTCCAAACAGGAAAAGCACCTGGCCATACCTGGTCTATGCTGTCCTAGTCTTAGTCTCCTCTTCTTCCCTGCTCCTTCCGACCAGGCTCAAGTCGTGCTCACCTGGTCTCCATGGTTCTAAGTCTCAAAGCCAATATGCTGAGCGGAGAGAACACGACCAAAAGCGGTCAAACAATCTAGCCGAATCGAGCTTGGAAACCTAACTGGTCCAGCTTCCCATATGTGCGGCTGTTAAACTTGTTCAATATTATGCTACAGTATCACCTAGATGGGGGGTCCCATCGCGTCCCTCAGTTTTGGGCAGCTTTAGGCTTTAGCCTTGTAAAAGAGGTATCGCTTTCTTGCAGTTAGTAAGGCAGGCTTCAACCAAACCAGCGATGTATGAGCACGAACACTCGAAGGAGACAAACAAACAAACAAATAAGCTTCACTAGAGTCGAAGGCAACAACAAAGCTCAGCTGACACTTAAAGCATTCACCAAGCTGTTACTGCAACATCTTTGTTGGCATTAAACCATCTCTATGTTTAAGCGTAAGTGGGAAAGTGATGAGTGGCATGCTCAAGGGCATCGCTGGCTTTGGGTCTCGCTTAGGCATCGTTAAGGGTGTCTCTTCAAATCCCGGCTTTTGCCCCAACAGGAGATGACTGTTGCCTCTTACTTGTGGAATTAGCTTTCAGACCAAGAGGCCGTTGTAATGTATGAGGAAGAAACACATGTCAAACAAATAATTACACTATATTACACATGTACACTGTTCATGTTCATTCTTCATGTTCTGGTAGGGCATGGTGTTCTTTTTTGGGGAAGGGGCCATCCCTTCTTTCCTCTTTTGCGCTTCTCAAGGATTGAAGGCGGCTCAACAAGCTCTGTAAACACCGTCTTCTGACGCTGGAGATGTTTGACCATTTGGTAATAATAGGGGCTGTAACATGCTGCAGCCACAATATAATTGTTATATAGACTTAAACTATACTATATACGATTGCTCAGTTATATACTTTATAATATCTGACAATATGTACTATACACTATGAACAAGCATGCTTTACATTCTCAACCTCAACTGTGCTCACTCCACCCATCGACCGGACGGGCACCCATGTGATCCGTGCTCACTCATTTGTGCAAATCCAAGTGCCATGGACTAATGCAAATCCATAAAAGGACGGTGGAGGGCGGAAAGCCGTCCTGAAAATCCCACAGCCCAAGAGGCGGTGGGTAAAACATAACAAAAACACGGAGTGGCACCCAAACATACCCAAACTCCCAAGAGCCCTTTGAAGCTCTTCACGAGGAATCTGGCCAATGATGCAATGGAACGAGCAATTGAAACCTGCAGGTCATGCGTGGTCATGCGATGTCATAGCGTTTGGGGCCACACCGCAATCCCGGAGCCGATCAGCTCAGACTTGAGTCAAGCATGAGGCCTCGAAACTTAGGGAGTCCTGCATGGAGGTCTGTTCGACCAGAATCCAGAACTCGTGCACGTCTGCGCGAGTTCTTTCGCAGCTTCCCAAAGAGGCAGAATTGGTCCGATCGTATGTCCAAGTCGATTCCGGTTGGTGGACGTAATGAAGCTCGGACACTGGCAAGGCCTTTGGCCCTACACCTGTGCCTTCGGTGCCTTCAACGAGCCTGAAGGTGTCTGAATGTGGTCGGATTGACACGCACAGCCCAGCTATAGAGCAAGAAAACGAAAACAATTCATGACAATTCAATCCATGTCTTGGGTATATCCATTTCCAGTAACAGTGGATGAACAGGCCTTTCTCTAACATATAGTCTTGATACTCTTTCATCGACTAAAAGTTATTTTCTACACCCTATTTGCCTGTCTATCCAGTGGGTGCGCCATCAATTATGGATGTCACCGGGACCCTCCAAGGGGTGTCCAATGGACTACCCCACACTACCCAGAGGCTTCCAGACAGGGCACCCCGACAGGAGGGTCCTGGCATGTGATCATCATTTTCTCACATTTCTTCGGGTGCTGTGAAAACCTCCGTCCTTCTTCCATTCGGAGTCCGACCCGGTCAAACACCTCCAATCTGGTCGTCAGGTCGGCGCGGTCGTTCGCCGCGGTCGTTGGCCGCATCCAATAATCATTGGAGATGGACATGTAGCAAAGCCAAGTCCATGTGTTTTCTTCACATTAGTCAGCTCGTACCACTTCGATGGGCACCCACAAATCACGGAAGCTTTCAAGGTCTCTTTTTTGGAAGAGGGAGGGCGGGGTCATCAGGCATGTTTTTTTTTTTTAATCGAAGTCGTTCGAACAGCCCAAGCCACAAGGCCCTGAGCGCCACTGTGGTGGCAACTTGGTCGCACCACTCATCGCGGCGGGGTCGTGTGGGAGCTGGGAAGGCCCTTCTTTCGAGGACAATAAGCTCGAGCTGAAACGAAGCTGGGTGGAGGCATCAAATCTGCATGCATGATTGCATGCATTCATAAATTGATTGTGCATGTTTTCAACGAACCAAATATTAGGAAGGATGCGGGCTGAAGATTGAACATAATCAATCATGACTTCAATATGATGTTGCAGTTGCTTGATGCGCTTGATGTACTTTATTTGGATTAATTTTGGTGATTATTCGAGCACTTTCGCCACAAAATGGGAAAGCATCGTTTCCTCGCAAGCCTCACCCTGGTTGTGGCTGCTTCCGACTGGCAGATCGGACCTGCCCGGTCAGAAAGCCTGCTGGATCACCTTAGGTCTGTGCCACGGCCACGGCTGGAGCACCAAAACCACATCAACCAGTAGAATCTAAATTCATAAATTTAACGATATCCATAGATATCAAGCTGTTTCACTCACATTCTGGAGACCCTTCCGGACACTTCTCGGACACTTCTTTTCACCGTGCGACCGGCGGAAGCTCATCTGCATCTTCAAAGATCTGCTCGGAGTTGGCACACAAAAACGGCTCGCCGGCCGTCGAAGCCTGGATGGAGGAAGTGAGGAAGCCGTCGGAACCGGTTGCCACAACGCTCCATGTAAGCCAATACGAACGAGGCCGCATCCGGACGCGTAATCGCGTAATCGTGATTTGGTGCCGTATGTGCCGGCGCATGGAGCGTCTGGGGGGTGATTCTTTGAACTGGATGGTTTGTTTGTAGCTCATCCACCCCATCGGGTCCCAAAAGCTTATCTACAACGGTCGGGTCTCCTCTGGGACTCTTGGATCGATCCAGCCACCTGAGAGAAGGTACCGACCCAAAACATCCAAAAACCTCGAGGCTCGAGATAGAGACGCACGGAAAAAGAACAGCAGTGGTTTCCCCAAGAACCCCAAAAGGCGTCATACGCTCAAAACACATGAGGTGCTCCAAGGAAAAACATGTCTTTGACTTCAGTCATATAATTATCCGTAGGTTTCCACGGCCTATCTACAGGATCAACTGCGACTTGCTCTTGGACAAAGAATGCTTTTGCAAGAGTGCAGCAATGCTTTTGGTTGAGTGGAGTCAACACACGATGCTTTCCATCCCAACAACTTTGCCTTGGGGATCTACAGGTCGGGCCTTTCAAACAAACAAAGGAGCCAAAACGAGGGCCACTCCGATGAAGAAAAAACCGCCCCGTTCAACCCAAACATGCTTTTGATCCTTTTTTTTGAAACGTCCCAGCTGTCTCATCGCCTCCTCTGAATCTCGGTCTTTGCTCCCTTTGCTCACCTTGGAACATGGAACATGGAAGGGACTGAAAAGACTTGGGCAAGAACATGTTTCGATCTAAGCTTTGATGCCATTCTTTATGAACCCATCTGGATTCCCAGCTCCTGGAAGGTCCACGGTGGTCTAAAAAGATCCCAGGGCTCCGCTCCCACCCGAACCTGCCTAGCATAGCTGGAACCAGCTTCCCCCACCCAAACCGGGCATTTCATGACACAATGAGCGAGTCGGTCAGGTTAAGCGCACCAAGTCGGGTGCGCCCAGGCCGGCAGCTTTCAAACAAAAGTGCGGTAGAGATGTGACACACACACACACACAAACACACACTCTTCTACTCCATTCTACTCCTGTTGCTGTTCCTGGGTCAAACTAAACCTCTTCCTTCTCGGATGCACTTCCCACCCAAGACTAGAGCGCCCTGCTTGTTCCCCAAATGCGCCGTGTCCCCATGTAGAAATGCAATAGTATTTATACAGTACGTGGTTTCCGGCACGTTCCAATGTACATCCATTTGGATAACAAGTCACCATCTCTCCACTCCTGGCTCCCAAAATGTTGGCCACATCAGTCTCAACACCATCCGCTGCGCGCGTGGTGACTCGCGATTTGAACCTTAGTTGCAAGCTGAAATATAAGCCCCAAGTCAATGGCACAGTCATTCATTCTCGTTGTCAGCCTCGAATTCGAGGAAGCCTGATGGATGGTTCCGTCCACCTGATGGGGAATCCTTTCGAACAGGTCTGCGCCACCTGCGAACCCTGAAGCTGTCTACAGGTTTCGGTGGTCACGGTACAATCACCGCACGCTCCGGGTGCAGGTTTGGTCCGTAACCCTCGGGTCAACACGAAATGCTTCGACCTCGCCAAAAGAGCTCTCGTTCTGCCAGTTTCTTAACATACCCGAAAGGCAGCAAAGGTAGCGCAGTCATATGCTGCATTTTAACACACACACACACACACTGCACACACCTCCCGACCTATGCGCAACGTGCATCTTGACCATGCCACACACACCCTATTCTATGGGCCAGACCCACCCATGACAGTTCAACCGTTCAACCTAATGATTTTGTCTTGCATCATTCTTGCACAAGAACATCGCCTCAAGTCCGATGGGAATGGAGCCGCAAACGTGAACGTCGTTACTGCAATGGGCTCGTGCTGGAACATACAACCCTGCACCAAAATATGTCACATACCTTTGCACACATCCAACTACAAACCAAAATTTCCATCCAGCACTGTCAGTTGACATGTGAGATGTACAACATGTCGTCTCCCAGGTTCCCAAATTAGGGTTCTGCTGATTAGAGTTCCATGGAAACATGTTATCCGATTTGGGTTCTAATCAGCAAGTCATTTTGGGGTTCTCCGGGCAGATTGGGGGAGATTTACAACTTCCCTTTTCCTCTGAACCTGCTGAAAAAGGATATCTCGACACAATATCCTCCGTTCTTCAATCAAAGACCCCAGGCTACAGTAGCTCGAGGCCCGACCGAGCCACCTGGTCTGCAACTTTGCCACCTTATCTTCCAAGGGCTGAAGCGTCGCCATAAGCCTGGATGCCGCCTGGGAGTTCCGAAGGATCTTGATTTTGGAATCGAAGATGTCCAAAATCCCCTAGATGTCCCTTCCCCATGCCCATGCACGACCGGACACCGAAATCATCTAAACGGCCTGGTTGGCGCGGAGCCGCAAATCCTCATGCGTCGACGCGTAGTTCTGCGGCACGAAGACGACGGCGATCTCCTGGAACAGGGCCTTGATCACCTGCAAAAGCCGCCGAAGAGGCAAAGAAGCAAGGATCTCCAGGTCTCCAGTGTCTGACCGGTCTCCAGGTCTCTCTGGGATTTGTATGGATTTGTGGGTGATCTGCCGGACCGATGAAGAGAGTGGGTGATTTCAATCCTGGACCAAACAACTGGGACAATGATCCTCCTGCACCCCAGCACATTTATGCACATGTCCTCCCCACCCAAAAAAGCTCGCTGAAATCCGTTGGCATTATCTAGTGTCTTTGAAGGGTTGATCCAGGTCTTGTCCAAGTTATCCAAGTTGATAGAGGAAAACACAAGCATGTGTTTTTGTTGTTTCTTTTCTGGCTGCGCTAGCACTCAGGGCTGCCAATCCAAAGTGCAGTTGCTTACGGCAAAACAACGCCGCTGGATCACATGAAACTATTCTGTTAACATACACTGCACTTGCTGTGGCAAAGTAGCTGGATAGTCTTCCCCTTTTCACTACGTAGCAGGTCTTCTCAGGTGTCCGCAACAGTGTAAAGCTATCGGCCCAAAACAAGCCATGCATGGCATGTATGCCTACATAGACCGGATTTTCAACCACTGAGGTCGGCCATCCATGGATGGTCATGGCCATCGCGGAGTCCGACCCCCCTGAGCCTGGCTCGGGTGGCTGGGCCCGGTGAGGGAACCCCGTTGTCTCAAAGCGGCTGGGCACTTGCTGGGTGCATGAGATGCCGTGAAGAACTACCCTCCCAGAGCAATCACCATCCTTCTGAGAGGGCCCGGGTCGGGTCCAGCCGTACCGAACCTGAGAAGGTTCGACTGGATCCCTAGAGGAAATAATGAGACAAAAACAACCACCAGCACCTTCATGTCGGGGTCACCCGGCTGGATTCGCCAGCCCACTACCATCCGGGATCTCCAGACAGGACACCCCTTTGAAGGTCCAGGAACATAACATCATGAAACTCTTTGCCACTCCTGGGCCCCATGATGACCCATGTCTGCACACGAGTGGCCATCACATACAAGCGCAGCCTGGGGGGCTGGTGGCCACGTGTACAGCCACAGAACGGTGCGAACATCAGTGGCAGGATTGCTTTTTCTGGTGGATGCAATTGTATAGACCTAACAGCAACACGACATGAATTAGATCATAAACAGGCCTGCCGGTGCATTCATAATCCAAAATCCTCCTGCCATCCGGGGCTTCTTCCATCACTTGGGCGGGGATTGGTCCTCCGCTCCCAATGAAATCCCTCCGCCAAGAGGTCACGGCACCGGAGAGTTGAAAACGGTGTTCAACCCCCGAAGCATCGATCTTTCGGAAAGAAGCCGGAAGTCCAAACGCGTCACCACTTTTTTTTTCCACACGCGCCGTTCTTGTTTAAAACCGCCGGGAGACAAAGTAGTTATATATACTAAGCTTAGTAAGCTCAAAAAGGTTCTTAAGGAACACACACCCAAAAAAACACATGATTAAAACAAAATAGAATAAACACACTCTTTCACAGGACATTGTCATGTCAACATGCTTTGTCCATCTTTGTCCAGCAAAGGCGTAACGCCGGCCCGGCTTGGTCAACTGCTCCCTGGTCGATCGTCGTTGAGGATGACCCCGTGGTGAAAGTGGAACGGGCTGCTCGTGTCTCTAGGTCTTCCAAGCCTTGATCCATGTTTAATGACACTGAACCATCCAACCTAACAGCGGGAATGCAAGGGATGCCCACTTCACGGCTGACTCGAGATTGACGCGCTTTTGCAGAACGATCAAGTTAGACCTCCAAAAGAACTCTTTCACCTGCGGACCCCACTGCCAAAACCCTAAGGTATGTCAGCGAAGCGCAACGAGACCGTATGCCTATGCCCGCAGTCTCTATATCATGCCGTATGGTTGTTAAGTTCTCTGCTTGTCGTCCCTGGTATGTCCGCCAAGTCTTTCACACCACATTTGGCAAAGAACTCGTCATCCGTCAACTTCGATGTGGTTTGGAGTTCCGCGAAGAAGGCTGGAGATGGCATCTCGAAAGCGTCCTCCGTGATCACTGGAATCCTGGGGCGGCAAGGCTTACAGCTGCCCGATCCGACAAGTTGACACTCCCAAAAATCCCACACCATCCATAAGACAGTTTGCATACCTGAATCTATCTTCCAACTATGGCAATTTCATCCATAAAACATGGATGAACATGTTGAACAATTGGAAGATCAAATCCAGGTATCTTGCCCCATTTCTGACCCCTAATAAGGTCTTTATGGGCCACTCTTCACCTCAACACACACACAAGAAAACCTGGATCGCCTGGCGCCCAGAAAACACTGCAAGCCGAAGCTTGGACACATCCTGTTCCTTCACTGGAGCCACGAGCAGGGAAGCTGATCAGATTTTCAAGATGTGTACAAAGAAGATCAATGCTTGGCTCAATGCTCAACCGCTGTCAACGAAAGCAGCTGGGACCAGCGCTCTGCGTGAAATTTCCGCCCCCCGAGCCAACCTGTCCAAGTCTCATGCAGCACTTTGGCAGTCGCGAAGCTTGCAAAAGCCTGGGCCACTGTCGCACTGCTGTCCGACCTTTGTTGGGTCCACCCTGCCCATCTTCGGTTCACCTTCGGCATCCTCGAAAACCCCGAAAGGGAGAGCTGGTGGGGTGGGGCCTACATACAAACCTCAACATACCTCAAGCCCACAAACACCGACAACATCTACATACATCGGCTTGCGCGAGGGCCAGGGCGGCCGAGCGCTTACTCCACCACGGCCGAGTGGTCGACCTGACAACTCCAAAGGGTCGACGGATGTCAAGGATTCCAAGGTTCGCGGTCAACACCTGAGTTTGGGTCTCTCTCGATCGCCTTCTCGAAGAGTTCAACTAAGCTAAAGGCGAGTGAAAACAACCGCACCACAAGGAAGATAGCGACCAAGTCACCATCATTGTGAAACCAAGCTGGTGATCTTCCGGTGTTGGTTAAGAAACCGCAACCCCCTGAGTGCTCCAAGTCATGCTTTGCCTCTGCAAACGTGCACCCTTCTCCTTTTTCAGCTCAGGCGCCAGGTCTGAAGCTGCTCTGACTTGAAGCATCCATGGCTGCAAATTAACAAGGAAAGTGTGGCTTCCTGCGCGACCTGGCGGCCAATGTCACGGGTCCGGTGTAGGATCAGGGAAGCACTGAAACCGCTGGGGCATAGCCCTGAAGCTGGCCTGTTGCTAGGGCGGATGGACACGTTTGGCCAGAAAGTCAACCCAAAAGAACATGTTTTCAAGGTTGCATCTCCGATTCATTTCTGGTAGTTTCAGGAGACTTTGACAGGCTTCAACACATCCGGAGAAGAACCACAGCTCCAGGGGCCAGTGAGCCCTCCAGCTGCAACTTCATCCCTGACGCCAGGGCCCTCTCAACTGGGAACATGCCACGAAACGCCCACCAAACGCGCCAAACGCCGCAAAAGAAAGCCAAATAGATCGACCCCAGATAGCAAAGAGGCAAAAACCAGCCTCAAGACCGCTGAGCTGGATTGAGGGAAGAGGCAAATTGGTGCCCAAGAGTTTCGGCTTCAACCTGTGCGTGGTTCATTCGTTCGCACGATGTCTGGCGTTTGCATGATGTTGCTGGAATCCTGATCACATCCCCTGTCACCCACGACAGGAGATCAATGGCTGGAACTCTGGGCTGAAAGGAGCGGGGTTGAGGCTTATGCCGAACTTATGCCCATGTCTCACTTGGATTGAGTTCTTGGAATCACTCAATGTGCCAGAGACAACTTCTAAGGTGTTTATAGGTGTTTGACCCAAACAGTCCTATGTAAGAGCCATGAAATGTCACTTTACGAGCGGCCACATGGGGCAGCTTGGGCATCCCAAGCCAGATATATTTAACATATCGCTGCTTCGTCCAGACTTTGTTCCCGGCTACACTCGCCGATCAGGGTATATGACTGCTGTGAAGACACGGAAGGGTAGATCTACCCCAAACACTCCATGGGGCTGCCATATATGCCGATCAATTGACCCCGCAGACCACCCCAACTGATCGGCATATACGGCAGTCCCATGGAGTGTCTGGGTACAGTCAGATCCACCATCCAAACCGCGGGTAGCCCGAGGTTTGTGCGGACGAACTTCAGGTCAGGGCCCCCTTCCGACCGTGCTTATGGCCCGAGTAACTGAGTCCAAGGGAACATAAGTAAGGGAACATTTCAATCAGCATACCTCCCAAAAAACGGGATACCAGCTGTGACCCACTACTTGATTATCTTGCTTGGATTGGGCTAAACATTGCTCTAAATCCCCGGATGCTGGGCCAACGTGCGCCCAAACGAACAGCTTAGCCCCACGCTGCCAGTGGTGAACTCCTTACGATGTCCACTCTGTTGCTCCTTAATTAACATATCCCAGACACTCCATGGGACTGCCATATATATGCCGATCAATTGACCCCCCAAACCACCCCAACTGATCGGCATATACGGCAGTCCGATGGAGTGTCTGGGATATGGTCAAAGCGGTGGGTTTTGGGGACTCTGGTCGACCACTGAAAATGAACAGTATAGTGACCATGTCAAGCTTCCAGGCATTGGGGCAACCATGGGCAACCTACTGGTGCCATGCCCCACAGCACCCATCACCTACTCATCTGCTAGCCCAGTAGCAGGCTGCTCAGCACCATCGCTGCAGCCACCGCTTCCGAGTTCATTGGATCCACGAGCACCTCGCTGGGCGTCTCGACCGATCCAAGGACCCGAGGTGACTGGCCCTCACCAGGATGCGAAAAGCAAACGAGGTTCGGTCACGTGACAACACCAAGAAAAGGAAGAACAACAAAAGGCTCATGATGCTGTCCTGACAGCATCGAGCAGCCAAAAAATCGGAAAGAAGCTGCTCCGGTCAAAGTACAACTTGTTGTTTGCCGGAGAGCCCAGCACACATTAATCTGGAATCTGGACTGTTCATGAATAAACTCCTGTCACGTAGGAAGAGGTTTTGCAATTGAAATGAGTGGGTTCTATTCAGTCCAGGATATCCAGCGCTCTAGCGGAGCTGGGGTTTGTGAGAACCTGTAGTGAACATCGTCTTTTCCCGCTCTGGTAGCCCACGGCTGGAATTGTTGCTTCTCCACTTTAATCCTACAAACCAGGACCTGCCACAGCCTTCCAATTCGGGCACATCTCATCAGTGCTGTGGATGGAGCACGTCATTCAACCCAAAGCATTCCAGCCCACCTCCCACTCCCGGCCATTCCAATGCCAATTCCGGTCTCCCAACGAAGCCGCCCAACCGATGCCGGTGCCCCGTGCAACCCGAGGCGCGGGGAAGTTGGTGCCATACTCCGAGGTGAAGGACTGGGCCCGGGCGCTCCTCACGTGAGGACGAGCGCTGGGCCTGTTTCTGGGCTCAGGGCGCCAGCGGCCCGACGGACCCAGGGCGGCCCAAGCGGGCCCAGTCGGCTCTATTCCCTCATTCCTTACTAAGCAGTCAGTTTACAGGGGGTAGTTCTGCCCGTGCAGTTTTGTTTCAGCGCCGCCTGCCGATCGATGAGAAGTTGCTGGTTAGAGGGCCAACGGACCAACTCTGGATGTCGTGCTGGTCCACGAAACTCATCAGCCACAAAACTATCAGATCCATAATTGCAGCGTTGTCGAGCAGCTTGGGGTGAACACTTGGAGAGCAAGTGGATCATGGATTGGCTTGTCATGGAGTTGTTATGAGTTGTCGCTTGTTATGAGTTGTCGCTGCTCACACGCAACAGTGATAGTCATCCTCAAAAAAGTGTTTTCCATGTTCAAAAGGAAGTTCTCCAGGAACCCCATTGTTTCCTGTAGATTTTCCCTTTAACCATTCAATCATTGATTGCTATGTTGCAGCACGTGAGTGAAGTAGCTCTCACACATGTTAATCTGCGATGCACTTGTCACAATTGCATCAACTCAACTCAGGAAATGTTGGATCCTGTCTTGTAAAACGCCCCAGTAGCAAACGATGGAGGGAGTCTCAATAGCATGAGTCCCACAAAACTGGCTTACTGTAAGAATTGCCCAGCAAGGCCACAAAAGAAAATGAACGGCATTCTTGTTGATGAATAAAAACACATGAACAGAACAATATCTTTGATGTTGCTGGTGCTGCTGGATGGGTGGTCAATGCCAGTGAACAACAAAAAATCAATGAGAGACTTGAATATATAGCTATATATACTGTATGTATAAATGTATATGAATATCTGTATATATATATATCTAATAATATCTAATAATATATACTGTATCACTATTTGTGTATTTGTCTAAAACCAACCCCCAAACTAATTCAAGACTTCCATCCAATTTTACCCGACACGGACCCGGATCTAGGCCTGTGACCCTGTGCTTCTGGGTTTGCGCCCTGAGCTCGCCCACTTGACAAAGGATCAGCTTGGTGCTTGGTGCCTTCGTCCCGGCAGTCACCAGGCCGGTGACCATCAAGTGGGTCGTTGTAGGGGAGATCTGCTCGGGCAACGCTTGGCCTGGCACGATGGCGAGCCACCGGAGGGCTTCCTCCACGTCCTGCAGGCTGATGCCGTACCTGAGGAGTGCTGGACCCAGGGGGTCTCTGCTTTCTGGCGATTTTTGGGTTGGGGGATGAGTGCTGGACTCCATTTGGGAGCTGTGCTCTGGGATCCCGATTGCAAATTGCATCCGCTGTTGCTCCAATCAGCATCCGCAGTCGCACGAAGCATGCCCTCATGGAAAGTGGTGCTGTCAAAGAAATGGGCCACCGTTCCGAAGGTTTCCTTTCTCTACCAAGAGCAGCTTTCCTTGCGCTCTTTTTCCCGTGATGTGCAATCTCCAAGATTGGTCGGTCCTCGGGTCATTGTCAAACAATAGATTCAATAGAGTGATGGGATAGAAAAATATGCTCAATCTAGATGGTGCTGGTGTTGCCACTGAAAGTAGGTGATGGTGGGTCCTCATGTGGGTTCAATGGCTTTGCTCCATCAACTCTAGACTCAAAAACTTGATCGTGACATCAGTCACAACTCCTGAATTACCTGCAACTCGCACCACCCTGTTCGCATTGTAGGCTGACAAAGTCTTCCAAGTCCTCGAATGGTTTTCGGACAAACCATTTAACATCCACTTGGGCAGAAGGAGTCGCCTTCGCACCATTACATGATTGCTTTGTTCTCGCCCTATGGCCCTATGGATCCACGGATCCACCCTCTTTGTCAGGTTATGTTTTTTTAAGACTCTCTTTTTTACACATAGATAACAATTATAGCCATTGGAGGATCCAACATGCTCCCAATGTATGTGGATCTGTCGGGATGATGCCAAGAACTGTCTTTCGGTGCCCAGGCACTTGGTGAGCTCGTTGATGTCCGGAACGATCGTCGGATATTTGGCGATGAACTTTTCCTGAAGACGAAAAAGAAGTCATGGAACCAAAAAAAACCAATGAAACGTTGGGCTTCAAGATGCTCCAAGAGCTTCAAGATTCTCCAAATGCCGTGGGGTTCGGACTGGGGAGGGTTCCAGGGGTCAGTCCACTCAGTGTCCACTCACACCGGTTCTTGGAACCCCTGGAAACTATAAAAGCACTCACCCATATGGAGGCCATGGGTCCAGTTGATGCAAGGCATCCACAAACCGAAAGAAACAAATAGACTGGACACAGCAAAAATAAATTCCAGCAAACATATTGCACCGATTGGAATTGAGTACTGCACCGCGCATTGAAAAACAATGCCAAACACACGAGAGGTAGTACAACTGCACAAATTGTCACCTGCACAAGTGCCTTCACACTTAATTTTGACATACTTGTAAATTTCTCGTACTTTATCATATAAGCTGGAGGCTGAACTGCTTCTGCAGAAGTGTAAAACACCGAAACGACCGACACCTGCTGAAACCTCTCACTCGCTGAAATATCCCTTGTGCTATTAGAAGACAGAAGATCACCCCTCTCCGGCGTCCATTGTTCCCAGGTTCATCCGGTCGGACGAAGCTTGGCCATGTGAGCAGCAAGCTGTCTACTCCGTTGGCTCTTGCGGTGACCATTTCCCCCACGCACCACTTGCGCGTGAGGATGTCGGGGCTGCACAGCACCAAGAAGGTTTGAGTATCCTCACCCGCTGACTCGATGATCGGAGATCGCAAACAAGGTCTGAGTTCTATGATGCTCTATGGTTGAAGGAGGAAATCACTGTGGAGCTCAGGATGCCCAATGGTACAGGATGATGTCCATTTTCTTTTCCCGGGCCACCTCATCAATCGGTGCACCGATTCTGCAGCAAGCTTTCAGGAACTCCTTAAGGTGGTCTCAACTCGCAGCAATTGCTTCACTGTCTATAAGGCGTTGGGTCTGTTTGTTTTTCGAACCCTCTATGGCAAAGATGTGTTGAAAACGGGTCCCAGTGATGGAGCAAATCAAGTCCGAGTCTTAAACAACTATATAAAAAATAGGCAAAGCCCAAAGACATCCAAAGACCATCAACAAGAAAAACACAAAAAAGGGTTGGAGACTGGGTTGGAGGGGTTCCATGGAACTTTCAGATTCAGGGCTTCAATGGGTCGGGCCCACTTAAAAGGTAAATTGCAAGAAGCCCTGACTGGTGAACCTCAAGGCTTCCTCTCAGCTTCAAGTTCATTCAACAAAACTTGTAAACTTATAGAAAATTATGTTTCTTTCCTCCACACCAACACTTCAGGATCGAAATCCTTAAGTCCCCACCACACCACATCTCACCAGCGCACCAATATGGAGTTCCTCTCCAACAAATTTTCCCGATTCAGTTGTGACAAAGGCGAACGGCCAATTCAGGTCGCAACACCGGTAAGTCCAATCGGTCCAAACTTGCTCGCGCTGCCTGGCCCACGTAGCTGAAGAGCCGTGTCAAGTCGTTCAAGTCATCGCAGTCGATGAAGGTCTTCGTCCCGGGCCTCAGCGTCCAACGGACGTGGCGCGGAAGCGTTCAGTCAGTCGAGTCAGCGGCAAACGGGGTGGAAATGAAAGATGTGTTGCCACAACCTAGCATGTCAATCAATGTGTGGTAAACCAAAAATATCTGCAGACATAGTAGGGACATAGTGGAAGAGATATGATTTGCACAAAAGCAGCATGAAATCAACGAATTAACGAGAACACAGCTGAGACAAGGCAATTGGAATAGACATATTATAGACATTGTCTGAGGGCCACGTCTAAACAAGTCCCAAAGATTGTCATACAATCGCCTATTGTCGCACTGTATCAACCCAAACCTTAACAGCTAAGCAAGCAACAAGAACAATGGCTGACCCATGACAAGAAGCAAACGCTGTTCCAGCTCCATCTTCAAGAGCCTTGGGAGGCAAAAAACATCGGCGATGACATCGGCTGGAACGCGCAGCGGAACGCGCAGCCAAGGGTTCCGGAAACCAACTGGAACGAGCCGAACGGTCCCTGCAAAACAAGGGGGCGATCCATGGCCCACTCGGACACATTGCGACAGGTGGCGCGGACAGGTGGTGTGGATAAGGGGTACGGATCGAAACACGGTGGCTGATGGACCCAGGAACATCCGGGACCTGGTTTGGGTCCAAAAAATGGTCCAAGGTTCTTTCGAGCTGCCCAAGCTATGCCAGTAAGGCCAGAATCTCACCTTGAACAACTGCCCAGCCTGGATCAGGTTCCATGCCGATGGTCCTCTCCCCGCACCATTGCCAATGATGCAGCTACTACATGGCAAGTGACAAAAGCTTTGTCAGGATTTGTCATGCTGGCCCATTCTCCATCAGGCAGAATGGGGCCGAGGAAGGGATCTGAGAAACACCACCCGAAACCCACTGTGAACGGCGCAACCCAGGAACCTTGCCATTGAGCCTGCAGCATTCTTTTGGTGGCACAGGAAGTACCGGAACCTTAGGGCAGTCTCATGCAGTCTCACTGGTGGCGGCGAGTCTGACAGGCGACGGTCGCAACTGTAGAACAATGAATTCAGGTCTACCTAAATCAACCGTCGGGGTGTTAAGAACTTTGAAGAAAAAAGGCATCTGCACCACCTGGCGCCCGCCATGAAGACTCCTTTTTGTGCCCAAACGAACTTGTTACCACAAATTTGAACAGAATGTACGGTCTCAATCAACAGGCACTTCGTGATGCACGGTTGCTTAATGTCAACTGTCAACAACCCAGGTTGAGGAATCATTTGACATGGCAGTTGGCTAGACATATATATATATATATAATAAATAAATAAACCATATATAAACGTGATAAAAGGTGTATCTATACATCTAACAGTCTATATAAACACATATGATTTGGGTCTATCCTATTACCAGTAACAGTGGATGATGATGGTTAGTAAAGGATAGTAAAGGCCTTTCTCAAACATATTCTATTATAGAGTTATATTAATAACTGATAACTGTTTACTGACTGTCACAGGTAATTAGTAGGACAAACCCAACATATGAGCTTCTCCCAAGGTCTACGGCCTTTCGAGAAAAAAAACGCCTGGGGCCACACCTCGACGACCATCCAGTCCAGGCACTGCTTACGGTATTTCTGTTGGAAGTGCTTAAAGATGCCGTGGCCAATCGTTCCCAAGATGGAGAGGCACATCAGCATCAAGAAAAGCATCACCTCTGAGGAGTCCATGACGTGGTCACCCCCAGAGTCACGTGAACGTTTTGGTGTGGATGTGGTCGAACACATGCAGCGAAAAATCACCATCCGTTGGCCCTAGCTGAGAAAATTCCTGCTCGAGCCTTTCAAGAGCTTTGAAAACAAGCCTTAGCAAAGTTTAAGTAATGCAGGGGATTCCCTCTATGGGTCTTGGAACTCCTCTGACAAGCAATCCGTTTTTTGGGGATGATTGTGTTTGTGAGTTCTTTTTTTGGGGCGGCCTGGGGGACAGCACTAGGTACCCATACCTCCGTGAAGCTTTTGCCAATCTCTCTCCCCAAGCAAATTTGCCGACGCGAGGGTGCTGCATGATGTTGTATGTGGGAGGTGCTCTTGAAAAAGGATCCGTGTTAGATACGTTCTACAAAGCACATGCACAAAAAGCAGCGCTTTTGCCAAATTCCTTTGACCAAAAGTATCCAAAAGTCACCTGTTGCAGGCCCCCTTCCAGTCTACCATCCTCCAACCTGCTGCCGAAGAACCACCACCATTGTCGCTCCTGGATCTGAATCCTTCACCGAGATGGCGCCTGGGATTGCGTGCGCCACATGCCACGCCATGTCACGCCATCGCACGATGGAAGCCACGCACTGTACTTTCTCAAGATCTATCAGCCAAACCATGCATGGATGAGCACTGGGTTGGCGCAAATGCAGTGGCAGGTATCGCTTAATTTTAGATAATTTTAGGGCTCCAACCTGCTCCAACTACTTCAAAAGCTACTTCAACCCACCACCACGCCCAGCTGTGAAATGGAGGCACTTGGAGCCCCACGTGAGGGATATATGTTCATCTCGCCCGCTTCTTTCTCAAAAACCAAGGTGCCCAGAATGAGAATCACCAGCATGCCAGCCAGGAGCACATTGTCCAAACAATTGCAAATCCTCAGGGCCCATGCAGGATCCCACACTGAGGGCGGCCCACCACGACCCGCGGAACAGCCATTGCTCCTCTTGCTACGACCAGCGGAAATCCAACATCACAGCAAAGGGATGCTTTCGTGGAGGGAAAAGAGGGTTGAAACCGGTGAACATCCAAGGTGATTCATGCATGTGGGATGTCCTATCAATGTGCCCACGCGTAAACGGCCACTTTGCCATGTCAAACGAGCATCCTCCGCAAGGAAAAGGAAAGTATGGCAGTTGCAAGAACTACGCAATTCAGTTGGGTCGATCTCGAATTCAGGTGCAGGACAAGTGCTTCATTCAGGGAACTGAGAGGCCTCCTGCTACTGGCTGCCCTAAAATAATATCGAATTTAATTTTTGGCTTAAGTTAAACAATGATCTGTAGCCGGAACTTTCAGGTGGCGGCCTAGAAATAAGGATGCAATTAAACATGTTTCGACTATGAGGAATGATTTGATGCTGCCAAAGACTTGGAATTGATCCCACAATGTAGGTAAACGTCAAAGTAGCATACAATATATATATATACATACAGTATATATTATGATTTGTATGTACTTCCTGGTCGGCTCTCTCCGGCGGAGAGGACATGTATATAATTGGTGATGTCAAGTCACTTCTCCCAAGTAAAGGGATCACTCATCCCAAGTAAAGGTTGAGTGATCAGAAACATCAACATGAACAGCTGTGTTTTCCAGTGCCCCAAAATGGCCAGACCTACCTCACCAACTCATGAGACCAAAACCCGCTCCGCAGCTCCGGGGGTTCGGTGAACTGCCAAGGAGCAGGAAACGCCATGGCTTGAAGAAGGCCACCATGATGGAGTTGAAAATCAAGATGATGCCTGGCTTGAGCAGAAAAATCCAACAAACGCGAGGATAATCCAAATGACTTGAACATCTTGAAATTAACCATGTTGAACTATGTTGAAACACCAGGTGTCGAACGCTTCAATGCTTGAAGGTTGCATGCCTGGTGTCGCCTTTGATGACGAAAAAAAAGCGCAGAATGAAGAATACTGTTCTGATCTTTTCTGGGCACTCTGGAATGTGCGATGCCGAAACGACTCGAAGCGCTTGCAATACATGTGTAACATTGTGCCAACCCCAAGCGCATGCTAAGACGCCGCACTATCAAAAGAACGGACCAACATACAGGGGGCCGAAATCGCCCCTGAATGGTTGGTATAGGAGTCCCTAGTAGCTCCTGGCATTACTACTAGGAACAAGAAGCTACTAGGACCAGGAACAAGGGCATCGCTACTAGTAATAACAAGGACGCACTAGTAGCTTCTTCCTTGGTACTACATACAGGGGGCCTTTCGCCCCTGAATTGTTGGTAGGAGTCCACGTGCAGCACAATTGTCTCACCGTCACCGAAGCATGCCAGTTCCATCAAATCCATCAAACAATTGCATCGTATGACTGTGGCCCCTATAAAAAGCGAAACATTCTAAACGACCAATATTGCACTTCCATGCACTTCCTAATTTGCACTTCCTCTCACGTGGATATCGCTATTCACGTAATTAATAGACGCAGCGCAAATGGAAGCCCCATAAGAAGGCTGGGTGGTTTCCACCCTTCCAAACTATTTGTTAGAGGGAATTCAGGACTCACTTTTCTGTGTGGGGGACACTCATACTTGGATTGGATCCGCACACATTGTAGAACCGCCCTCCAAAACCGCGGTGCACATCATCAGCAGCTGCCCAGATGTGCTGTGGAGCAGGGGGCACAGCACTACTAAGGCGTTTCCTGAGATGCCACGGCCAAACCCAGTGATCCCAGGCAGCCTAGATTTCCAAGAGCATTCTCAAGAGCGGTTGGTTCTCCAAAACCATCCCCTTGTGTGCATCTGAAGAGGTGATATGAGGAACACTGTTCATGTCGACAGCAGGTCGATTGTTCCGTCTACGGGGCTCAAAATGACCTGCCATTGAGCCATATATTTATAAGCGAATGAAGCCACAATCGAAGCGAGGAAGGTAATTTTCAGCAGAGAGTCTCTGCACCCAAACATGTTCAAGACTTCTGGGTTCTTCAATCTTTCCGGAGCTGATCCGATTTGGTTTTCACGGGATCGGCACATGAACGGAAAGAACGGCCTGAAGAGGATCCCGATCTTGAGAATGTGGCGCTTTTCCCCTCGGCCGAGAAAGAAAGGGTATGTCTCCGGTTTGTGTCTCCGTTGTTTGGCAGGCGCTCCGGAGCGACGTCACCGAGGTCTATCCGAGCATCGGATCAGGAAGAAGACCGAGGCGATCTCCATGCCAGGCCGAAAGCGCTTGATCAGGAAGCCGCAGGCATCCAGAAACCGAGCATCAGACCTCACCGTGTCGATCGCTCAGCGATCGTGTCCTTCGATCGCTCGCTTCGATGTCGTGCCCGTCTGACGCCCGAGAAGACACGGGAAGAAGCAATTGGAAGCCAAAGAAGGGGTGGTCTGAAGGTGTGCAGCGAATGGTTGAGCATGTACACCACCCACACACCCAAACCGATAGAAAACTAGGCTTTCTGGTGGTAAAAACCCTGGGTCCATCTGCCGAAAAACATCGAAAAACATCAAAGCAAACCAAAGCTGGCCGAGCCGACACCTCTAATCTAGACTCTTGATTACTAACAATGAAGAGGACTTCCGATTCAAGTGGGTGGGTGACTCCTCTAGAAACCGGTCAGGTCCCCCTCCTCCGACCCCAGGTCGAGCCCTCAACCGTCCGGCACCAACCCGAGCCTGGCGATCCGTCGGGGGAGCTCCAGGACGACGGTCCAAGTGCAAAGGGCCAGGAACACCACCGGCATCGAACAAGCGAAACCTGGGACGGGCGACGGGAAACGGCACCGCGGTGGCACGGGTTTCACGACACCGGAAACCGAGTTGCGGTGGCTTTGGGAGCGGTGGCTTAGCAGAAAGACCACTCGAATAGGCTGGTGGAGGCTTTCGGACTCCAAACATTGCAACTCGACCCTCAAGCTCATATGAGATTGCTCATCACGGCAAAGGCCCCCAACATGCCTAAACACACTCATCACTGGCAGCAACACCAACCAAAATAGCAAGCATTGGCAAGTCATAAGCCATAAGACACCTCTACCATTCAAATTCTTGGCTTCACTTAGATCGCTGGATGGGTTGGAACGGAACGTTCCCAGCTCCAACTATAGGGTCTCTTCTCCCGCCTGTGAAGCAAAATTATATAGCTCATCAACCTCCTCGCGACCTGCTACACTTGGGTTCCCCCTGTTGACCCGAGGAAGTGGACTACTTAGATGGACCTGGTCGTTACTGTGTGATGAGCATGACAGGCATTAGCCAATACAGTAACAACAGTACACAGTAACAACATACTACTAACCGCCTTGGGACTGCCATATATGCCTATCAGTTGGGGTGGTTGGAAAGGGGTCAATGTATGGAGCATATGCGAGTGTACTTGCGAGTGTCATGGAGTAAAATGGGTGTTGTAAACCGCCTGTCACCGTGTCTTCTCGGGCCAAGGGGCCGCCAATGACCAGCATCGCCAGATGATCTCCCTCTCGATCGCCTTTGCACTAGAGGTCTCGATCGATCCCCAAATGGTTTGCTTCGATGTCTCGGTGGGTCCTGGATTGGAGTCTTGGAGTGCCTTGTCCTGATTGCCACTTGCAAAGCAGCCACTTTGAAAATTCAAAATGGACAAAGCAACCACTTTCCTTGAGCAAAGCCAAAGGTCAGAAGACGTTCTTGTAGCGCTTCAAGGTCAATTTGCCGTTGGGATGTGCGTTGCACTGATAAGGCGCCACGAGCATGGAGAAAAGGACGATGAAAAAGATCAAAAACATCGTTCCAATGGTCCTGCAAAGGGTCGATTCGCTGCGGCGTCATAGGAAAAGTCATTTCTGGGGGGCACCTCCAACCACATATATATATTGTATTATTCAAGAAACAAATAACATCCCGCAACTGCTAGTCAGGGACCTCAGGATTTCAGCATAGATACCCCATATTGAGGTCTGATATGTCAGTCTTCCCCAAAAAAAACACAATTGCACAAATACTACACAGTTCTTGTAATCATATCATTGGTTGGGGGTGCATTTGGATCTGCTTCCTTGCAGAACCACCCACAAAGGTTGCCTGTGGTGGATCTTCTTTCCAAGCGAACGGTTCTTTCCAGCCCAAATGGGATGGACTCGACTTCATGAAATTCGAGTCTCAATATAGGGAGACCTCCCAAACAACCGGAAGAAAGGACCAAACGACCCACCCAGTCTACCGAGGACGGCACCACGGCAAACGAGCGCCGTGTTCCACGAGCGAGCGCCACGACGGGCCCCGTAGACCTGGGGGACGTGTGTACAAACAAGCACCGGCCGTGCCCACCACCCTGTATGAAGCACTAATTAAGTTAATGGATGAATGGCACATGCTTGCCATTACATTGGATGAAACGAAGTGGCAGTCTTTGGAGCTGCACGTGCTCATGGCATTGCCACCTAATTGGTGTATGGGTCTGGCATGAATTTATAGGAGCTATCGTTAAGATTACCGATTGGTTGGGGGTCTCCCTATTATTAAATTGCACACCCATTTGGGGGCTCCAAGGCCATTCCTGGGAAGGGTGCGAACCTCGGGTGCGAGGCGCTATACTCCTATACTCACTTACATGCACGTGGAGTTCACCCCCTGTTCGGTATTTGCAACATGGTCTTCCCGGAGTCTTATTAGCCACTTCCATCGTTCAGTGTAGCTCAAAACCTCTCCCAGTGAGAACGCGGCTCATACACCTCATCTGCTACTCAGCTCATAGAGGTTTCTTTTGTCCTCAGCAAATTGCTGGTCTTGAAGCTCTTGCAGCCAGTGTATAGGATGTAGCACAGGTGCACGACCAATGCAACGCACCTCCAGGCACCCCATCCAGAGATCGAGCGAAGAACTTGAACTATTTCTATAGAATTGTTATAGTGGTTTCAGAGTAGATGGCACAATCCCCAAAAGGTGGTTTATATGGACCCCCATCTCAAGGACATCTTGAGGTGCCTTGTTAAACTAGTAGATTCTTGCTACTAGTAGCGATGCATTTATGACTAATAGCGATGCAAACACCTCTGTCAGACTCGTGCTTAGTACGGAATAAGGCTGAATAACGGAATGGATCCTAAGGCATCTCTTGTGAGGGTTCACTCCCTCATCCCCTACTGAGCACAAGTCAGCTGTTGGCAAGAAAGAACTGTTACAATCTACTTCATATTCTGGTCTCATACCGCTGTCGCATCTCTCCTCACAAACAGCTTCCAACCAATCATTGAAAACTTCCAGACCTGCCAAAACAAATAGCCCTGCTCGGATGCTTTTCTCGGCTTCCGCCGGTGCCGAAGATGTTCCTTTGGTGTATAGTGTGTAGATATAATATGTGTATATACCGCCTATAGAGATCCAAATACCTTCTCAAAAGGTGCTACCTACGAAGCCTACGTGAAAGTGTACCCAATCCCTCTGAAAGGGTTAATGTGTGGATACCTGTGTAGCCTATGTGGATCCATAGGGTGCATCATGTATCGATGTATGTTCTGTTCAGACCCAATTGGCTCCAAAGTCAGCAACCTCATTTTGGGGCCCATGGTTGGTTCTTGAGGTGCGCTCTCCGCATTGGCGCGAGTGAGGCGCAATGATCATTGATGTCATTCGGATGCACATCACCGAAGTGGCATCTAGGAAGGGGTTGGGTCACCAGCCAAGTGACATCAGCATGGGGATCATCAACGCGCGGAAGGTAAAGAGCCCCACGGGGCTCAGCTGAGTAACACAGCTCACCTGCCAGTGTCTTGGCTGTCTTGGCTTTTCGCCCCCTTAATGTATAGTTTCTTGATCAATCAACCATTTGGATTGAACACCCTCTTCATATTGGGGGGGTGAAATATATTCAAGAATCAAGCGTCTACATTATGCCACATTATGCGTGGAACATGCCCACAGCATGCCATTGTCAACCGATCGAGCATTACCAAAAGGATCCTGAAGCGGTTTGGTTCCTTACTGGCCCAAACCGCTTAATGTTCTCCGAGCCAAGTTCCAACGGGTTTCCCCACTTGCATGTGCTTTTCAATCTTTTCATATGATGCTGCTCCGTTTCCCTGGACAATAATCAAGGTTCGCCTTTTCTGCACGTGTTGGATTAGAGTGGGGAAACCGATCGGGGCCACTGGCTGACCAACCTCGAAATCACCATGTGACCTGGCCTGCACCTGCATCACATGATGCATCGGCATCATGTAGACTGTAGATTGAAAGGCTAAGAAAAACTCTTTGGAGAGCGGACTTGTTTACACAAACAGTTGGACCAATCAGCCATAGACAATTCATCGCAGTGTTTCAGCCGGGTTTTGTCGTTCATCGTGAGCTGTGGGTCGGAATCAGGCTTCAGGGTCCTCGCCGTCCCATGTCGCAAGTCCCATGTTCGCCGATGGGCCGAGAGCATCTCCACGTCGAAGCTCAAGACCTCCAAGAAGACCAAAACACTCGCAAAGGGCTCACGCCAATCCTCGCACGTGGCATGCACGAAAGTGTTCTCTTTCGGCTGAATAAGATGAACCTATCTTCGGGATTTTCAAGACTCCGTTGAGCACTTGGATAGATACCGATCTACTTGGCTCGAGTGTTCACAGCTGTTTGTCAGGGTAAACCTTCCCTGCCTTATGGTCACTACTTCATGACTTGTCGCCACTTGCTGCTCGGCACTTGACCCCACTGAAGCCACGTCACAATCTCGAAACGTCGTAGCACTGAAAGCATCTGGACGATGGTGAGGAACTGTTGGAATCCGGCGGCCACCACCTGCCGTTGTTCGCCACTTGTTTCGCCACTTGGACGTCTCGGAAGGGTCCTCTATGAGCAATGACCTCTTGGAAGGGTATAGTTTTCTCCAAGATTGGGGGTCCCATCAGCATCCATCAGCAGTTGCGGGGACCAGCAACACCAGCCTACATAACTATATTGCAACCAGGCTAACCTGACAATTAAGAACAAGAACATAGATTTCAAATGATTTGAAATACTGACAAGTATCATATACGCCCTCCCTCCCCAAAAAAAGGCAAAACATTGGAAACATCACTAGGTTGGGCGATCAAATGCCATCCAGGCGACCAAAGTGGAGCTGCGCTGTTTCCTGGCTTCATCGGAAGCGACTTGGATTCGCACCCAGCCCAGGTGGAGAGAGACAAACATAACAGGTCTCTCATGTTAGGAACCAGGGTTTCTATTCTATGTGTTTCTATCAGGTCTATGGCTATATAACTCAACTCGACCTGCATCTTTTCCATTCTCCCATAGGGTCCAGGTACCCCGTCTTTTTTTAAAGCATGGTCTTAGACGTGAAGGTACTGGACATCCTCAAGGTCTTTGGAGCCGGACATCCTCATGATCCTGGACCCGGTTTTCTCGCTGCTTAGGCCATCGGGTCGACCCCGACGAAGTCCGACGTCCAACGAGGGTGGCGCGTCCACCACGCGGCTCCAGACGTCACGGTTCGAAAGTAGACTCGGTCCATTCATAAGCCATCATAAACCATCCCCATTTGGATGCACGGACTTGCGGACTGTCGGAAAGCACGCGCCCACCACTTCCCCTTCCTGAGTCGTTCAGATCCCCATCCTGGATTAAAAGTTCTCTTCATGTGGGCCTGGTACCCCTGAAGAGTGATAATTATCACTCCGTTTTGTAATTATCAATCTTTTGGATAGTGGCGTGACAAAAAACACTCCGGAGTGGAAAAAATCAGTCCAACCGCAATCGCGTTCGCAGTGCGTTCACTTTGCGTTCAATTAACGTTCGCTTTGCGTTCAAGATACGTTGCGGAGCAACAAAAACCATTCTGGAGCAACTATCCTCACTCCGGAGTGCTTTTTGTCACACCACTGTCCAAAAGATTGATAATTACAAAACGGAATGATAATTATCACTCTTCAGGGGTACCAGGGGGGTATTATTAATCAAGAAGCAACATGAAACTCCATCGGTCCTTTTGGAGATACCATGTTCTAACATGGGAGTCTCCAACGGATTCGGACCGGAGAAGACGCACACCGCCGGGAAGCACCGCGCCGAACGTGTCTCTATGGGTATCTTACCTTGTTGCGTCTGTCGTGCCGGAAACAGTGTCCCTTCGACTTACAGTAAAGGCAAAATGACGATTTACCCCCTGAACTCTTGGCTCAAATCCGGTGTATCGAACCAAATTGCTTTGCCAAAGATAGTCTATGTCTTCTGAGGAAAGAGATCCCCAAAAAAAACGTCTTCCGGGGGCTCTCTTTCAGACAACCTGGAACTTGAGATCCATGTTCGTCACTCCGAGAGAGCATAGGATCTACAAACGGCTCGACTTGATCTCTGAATCCAAGGCTCGACTTGGCCTCATTCAGAAGCAAGGCATACAACAAAGCCACAGCACCTCAGCGGTAGCTTTCGGTGTTTTTTCCCCAGTCTCGTCCAACTCATAAAGCACATCATTGTGGCCGTACCAAGCTTTCAAGAACGATATGTCTGTTGAATGATTGACTGACCTTATTAAACAAACATATAACCAGCTTCTTCAAAGTGACCTTTTGAAGGTTCCTAAGTGACCCTGAGGAGGCTTAAGTGACCTCAAACCAGTTACGTAACAAACATATTAAACAGACCTTATTCACTGACCTTATGATAACGATATGTCTGTTGTATGTCTGTTTAATGATTCATGTACCGAATTTTCACTGACCTTTGTGCGCTATGCCTCGTCACCTTCATCCTAAGGCACCAAAGACCAAAGCCACCACCACGCCGAAGAAGGCATAGTCGCCATCGCCACAGGCTTCACAGACCTTGTCATTTCCTTCGCGAAATCCCTCCTGTGATGATGGCCAAATCCCGGACAAACACTGGAACCAATGGCTTCTCATACTCATATGGTTTCTCATTCTCATGGTTTTGCCGGCGCAGCCATCGCACCACAAAAATGTTCGAAAGGCACCGAGTCTCGCCGTCTCGCCCTGTGTGGTCATACGGCATCGAGGTCTTCGAGGTCTTACGACGAACATGACGTATACCTGGACCCTCCAAGGGGTGTCCAATGGACTACCCCACACTACCTATAGGCTTCCATTGGGCACCCCTTGGAGGGTCCTGGTATAGATTCAGTTGTCTCAGAACATGGGCGTGTATTGTGTTTCCATATTTCTCGAACCACAGAGACGCCAATGCCTCGATGAATCAACAACAACACATTAAACACATATTAACATGGTAAGCCTTTGGGGAATGAACATCAAATCATCTCAGATCCACCCAACAACAGCTGAACCGTCGAATCGGCCAAAATTGGCCTCGTGACATTCTAGTGTAGTCCGGAAAGCTCTGAAGACTGAGACAAGACATTCTGCGCTTGACACATCTTTGGACGGCTTCCCAGACCGTTAGTTTTCCCAGCCGAGGAAGTCAACGAACGGCCTGAAGAAACGGGGTGCCGGTCCCGTCCTTGCAATCAGTGCAGGCCACAGAGGAAGTATCGCGGCCTGCGGCGCAGGTGCCTGGAGGACCACCTGGCGAGCCACGCAATTCCATCGCACTTTTGGATGGGTTTGCAGGAGGGTTATACATAATTTGGGTATATCCCAATATCAGTGCATGATGACTTTAACTCAAAAAGTCGTGATCCTCTCCTACGGACTGTTACATGCAGGTCCTGGGACATCTAATTACTATACACATGCGTATTTAGGAGCCTTCTACTGAGCGCGGCCTTCCAGCCTTCTCGTTTCTCCGACGCGCCGGCGAAAACGCAGCTGGGAGCCCGGCTCTCCGCCCGATGAGGCCGAAATTCATCCAAAGCCAAGACCAACCCGGTTCAAAGAACTCAAACATAACCCAAATCGTTGCAGAACCTAGAGCAACATCCAAACCCCAATTTGTGCCAGGGGCCTCGATTTGTTGGGCTTGTGCCAGGAGGGTTCTGGACTAAAGATGCGGGCATGGAGCACTATGGAAGAACGTCTAGTCCCAGAAAGTTGCTTACTTCACTAACTCAAGAAACTTAATTACTACTTAATAGCAGGAACACACGCACATGGATGGATGGATGGATGGATGGATGGATGGATGGATGGATGGATG